TTTCCCCCCCCCCCCCCGTTGTTTTCTAAACGAATAATTTGACTGCTACGGTATTTCCCTCTATTTGATATTTGTTATCAAAGTTTTTACTGTTTCACCGAGTGCTTTTCTAGAAAAATACAGCCCTGAATTCTTTTTGAGTGAGCTTTTCAACTGAAACAAATGCAAGGGTTAATTTTTGCTTGAAAATAGTCGTTTCGCCTCCTCCTCATGTTCCCAAATCTCTACTATCAGTATATTGGCGCGAAGAGGCAATAAATGTTGAGAAAACAACGTTATGTGTTAAAAAAGTATAGTTAACAAATTTGTCAGTTGATAAAAAATATTAAATTTTAAAAACTAGCTGAAATAAGTAAATGACGGATATGTGTAGTATGGTGGGCGCTATCTATGCTGGGATCTATCTACACTCCGTCCAAGTTTGACGATCCTAAGGGGAAGAGCATTCAAATTCCACAAGGAGATTAATCATTGCAATCTTGGAACATCTTCATGGAGATCATTCGCTTCAATTCAGACCCCACAATCTGATCCCTATCTTCGATTAGAACTCAAGAACATTCACTTCAATTGAAATTTCACAAGGCGATCATTCTCTTCAATAAGAACTCCACGAGTTCACATGGTAATCATTCTCTTCAATTTGAACCAGGCGATCATTCTATTTGATTCAAATCTTCCAATATGATTATAGAATATGATTATTAAAATTCCAAAAATTTGATTATCTTTATCAGTACTAGAAAGCTTTTACGGCTGTTTAATCCGTTTCATCCCTCTAGAATATTTGTCATTCAAAGTCAGGGTTTTAAGCATTTAATCCCAAGTCGAAATTTGATTCTCAAGTTTAATCACACATAGAAATTATAACGGTTAGATTTCAAGTGCCTTTTTCCAAACCGTCATTGTAAGTTAAACCTTTGTGAAATGTCAATGGAGAAAAATATTTTTACGGTCTTAAGATAGCTTCGTAATTTAATTGTATGATTTTTAAAGAGAATCCTTTATATTGAACAAATGTGATAACGCTATTAATTTACAGGGTTACCTATAAATGATGAAACTTCAATGAAGACATAAAATGTGTTAGGGAAGGTGGTGTGGGGTGCGTACTGTCTTCTTTAAAGTCTCAACCTTTCTAGCTAACCCTATTCGCGTTTATGTTTATTTATTAATGTTCAACTAGTTATTATTTAAGATCTGGTGATTCTAATTCTGCTTGTTTTCTGACTAGATTTACAATAGAAATATCTAGCAATATATTGTAGAGTAAACTAGTTAGATAGTTTTAATATCTAGCAATATATTGTCATAAAATTTTTGATTTATTGTTTTATAATTATCATTAAAATAACGATTTAGTTTTAAAAATTATTTATTTATGTGATTTTTAATATAAATGTTTAATATGAGGAACGGCGGCTGGATGGTTATAAACAATTAAGAATATACAGGGTGTCCCATGAAACACGACAGTTGGTGAATAGTTCAATATGTCTTCTTCCATGATTTGTTAAGTTGTTTGATACCAAAGATAATAATAAAAATATTATATGGGAGTCATGTTATAGTAAAATTGATTTTAAAATAAAATATATTCAAGCAAAAGATATTTTAACTAATTAAAATACTAACAGCCTTTAATATCTAATTCAGTACAGGGAAGACAACATTCATAACTATTTATCATGTTTCGTGGGACACCCTGTATCTACTGGTTTGTTATAGAATTACTGTTTCGTGGGACACCCTGTATCTATAGGTTTGTTCAAGAATTACTGTTTCGTGGGCCACCCTGTATCTATAGGTTTGTTAAAGAATTACTGTTTCGTGGGACACCCTGTATCTATAGGTTTGTTAAAGAATTACTGTTTCGTAGGACACCCTGTATCTATAGGTTTGATAAAGAATTACATCCATTTTTAATTTCTTGCCGCATGTTCTTATAAGAAAAGATACGAGACGGGTATTTACTATTTGTTACCCTACCCTGAGATAAGGAGTGTGATGATTTTTATTAGTTTTGAGGACACACTGGATACTTTTTACCAGAAAAATCATAAGTTCCCCTAAAGATCCTTTACTTTGACAAAATCTGTGAAACTCTAACTAAAAATGTTGCTGCATACACATTGCCATTTACTTTTCATTGATACTTGTACATTCGACCAAGTGGAAATTGGGTCAGGTTTTCTGAGACTTTCCGACTTAAAATTGTATTATTAGTATATAAAAATAGGTTGAGCTGGATTGGTGTTTGACGAGTTAAGCGTAGTAAATGCCCTGGGAGTTAACATTTATGTCATATTACTCTTTTTCTATTTCATGTTTATTTACAATAGTTGCAGGGTGTCTCACCAAACATGGCGTTAGCAAGACGACTTGAAAATTGTCTTAGATCTTTGAATCTATTTGTGACATTCAGTCGTCAACCTACTTTAATATATTTAATTCTTGAAACAATAACCACAAATTTTCCTAGTCCTGGAATTTTCAACACGTGGTCTGCCTTTTTTGTGATTTCAATAATTCCCTAGATATTAAGAATTTTTTTTAGATGTTAATTTTGTTAAACAAAACCAAATTTCTTCATATCTCGGGTAATTTTGAAAGATTAAAAAGGCAGACCACATTTTGGAAATGCCAGAACTAGGGATATGAAGTGAATCTTCCCTCTAAATTTAGGTTGACAAATAAATGCAGCAAATTATAGAAACATCAAAGACATTTAAGCCCTCTTGCTACTTTTTTTAAATTATTAATTATTGATTAATTGCTAATTTTTTTAAATTATTAAATAATGACATAAAATGTAAAAATATTCTACAATAACCTACAGACGTCATGTACAGGAACATGTTGAGAAAATAAAAATTAATCTTATCATCGAAAATAAGTAATCTTGTTAGTTTCCATTATCTCATTCTAGTTTCTCGTTATTCACAAAGATGTTCTGCAGATTTTCTAGAATTATTATTGAAAAGACGACATTTAAAGAACTTGTAGAAATCTGCGAATAAATTCAAAGATAATAATTAATTCAATATAATAATGAAAACGAAATAATCGATTTTAGCATTGATTTATTGACAAATTTCTTTTGAGAAAACAGGGTGTCCCACTAAACATGACAATAGCAAGACGACTTGAAAGTCGTCTTTGGTATTTGAATTTATTTGTGACATTTAGTCTTCTATCTACTTTAACATGTATGATTCTTGAAACAATTATCACATAATTCTCCTAGCCCTGGCATTTCCAAAAAGTGGTCTGCGTTTTTTGTGCTTTCAATATTACCGGAGATATGAAGAGTTTGGTTCAGATTTCAATTTTGTTAAATAAAAGCAAAATTGTCGAAATCTGAACGAAATTCTTTATATGTCGGGTAATATTGAAAGCACAAAAAAGGCAGACCACATTTTGGAAATGGCAGGACTAGGGGAATTTTGTGATTATTATCTCTAGAAATTTACTTCTAAAATTAGGTTGACAAACAAACGCAGCAAATTATATCAAAATTCAAGACGACATTCAAGTCATCTGGCATACTGTCATGTTTCGTGGGACACTCTGTATGTTCCCAACCATCTACATAGATTACTGTATAATTTTTACTTTATTTTTCGTTTTCGTTATTTAATAATTAAAAAGAAACTAATTCTGAAAACGTATTCACCCCAAAGTAGGAATTTTGAACGTCGAATTTGCACTCAAACTCAGGATTTACAGATCTTTTAAAAGTTTAATATGTCTTAAATGAATCCGAAAGAAGTTTTCCACAACACTGCATACTCAGTTCAACTACCTTACATAGCCGGCCACTCCCTTTAAGATGACATTCATAAACATATAAGTTTCTATATTTCAGTTTTTAACTTCACATCTTTTATTAAAAAAGAATTATACTAAACATAATGTTTCACGTCTATCATGACTATCCTCAGTAGTTAAAATTCTTTGAACAACTCTATATAAATAAAAATTTTAATAATATAAAAATTCAGTGTAAACATCTTTTGCCCCGATCTAAGAACACAATTACTAGTAATATTATCCCATTTTTTATTACCTGAACCATCTTTTTAAAATATAATTGAAAGAGTTGAGATTTTTTAAACACATTGTCAAAAAAGAATAAATAAATCATAAGTTCTTAAAATTATTCAGTTTTTCAGATATTGAATTGAATTGAATTACCCACAAAGGATGAGACTTGAATTTCTTCTTATGGAAACAATTTAAAAGTTTCACTTGGTTTTTAGCCTTTATTAAAGTTTATTAATAACAATTTTATAAGTTGGCAAAGAAATGTATTTTTTACTCTCACACAAATTAGAACCAATGGAAATTTAATCCCTTGAGGGATTCAATGAAAAACCCAAGTGCGTAATCAAAGGGTTTATCATTTAATCCCGACTTAAAACATGTTGTACAGGTGTCTCTGAATGATCAGAAGTCTCGGACTTTGTGACTAACCATATAGAAGTCATGAATAATTTTGATTTTAAAACTAATTGTGAAGAACAAATCATGTTTAAAATCAAAGTTCCATTTATGAGGAAATCAACGTTCTGTTAATTTGAGGAACATGTCAGTGTAGAGAGCCATGAAAACCTCTCCTTTGTCAACGTGATACCTTAATTATTAATAGATAAATTAGCATTAAAATAAAACAAAGCGTTCAATCTCTACCTGGTTTTAGAGTCTATTTCTATCATATATTTGGAAAGAAGTCGAACAGTTCCCATTTTCATCTCAATCATAGCAAATCTCTCTCCAATACATGTTCTAAAAAATGAATGCTACAAGACAAAAAGAAAAAAATATATCAAATTAAAAAAAATCCTATTAATTTTTTGTTCTGGAAAATAAATACCCAGAAATAAGAAAAAAGCATTTTACCTGGGACCAGCCCCAAAGGGCAGCCATGAACAAGGAACTATGCTACCAGCGTTCTCTTTGAGAAACCGTTCTGGTTTAAACATGTAGGGTTCAGGCCAGTACTCAGGGTCAAGGTGTACAATGCCTATACCCTTTCATTAAAAATACAACAATTAAACTTGTTAGGCTTATCTTGTTCTTCTGCGCTGCAAAGTGGGTTGATTTGGACAAAACAACTTACCTTTGGTATTTTTATACCCTTGTATTCAAAGTCTTTGTTGCAAAGTCTGTCATTTCTTGATACTGGAGGAAAAAACCTAAACAAAATATTTTTTTTGTTGAAATTATTTTTGGGGGATCAGACTCAAACTTTAAAAAAAGTAGACCCTGTGCGAAACTAATTATTTACTTCAACAAAATTATAGAAAGACTAAGGTGCAAGGAAAAGGACTCTAAGAGTAATTTAAATGAACCCTCCTTTCAAAGATGGCAAACTGTTTATTTTCTTTTGCAGTTTCTTTGTGAAAATGACTTTCACATTACTTGATTTTAAGAAGCAATGGTGAAATTCACTTGAATAAATACTTTTCAATTGAAAAAAGCGATGTTATTCTCCACATTTTAATCAGAGTAAGGTTTCAAGAGTACCCTTGTAAATCAGGTATTGATATCTTTGCATGAATTAAGTTAAATGAGACCACCTGAGTGTTTCCTTAATACAGGCCTCCAGGTATGGCATCTCAGCAACAGTTTCATGATCCAGCTTTCCATTAAACTTCTCCAGAACTTCATCAATCTCAGCAACCAGCTTATCAAGAACCTAAGAACCATGATATGGTATATGATAAAATAATAAAGATTTACGGAACAAGAACACCTGAACATACTATTCTTTACATCATTTAATATTTATTTATTAAATCAAAACAATAACCAGAATTCCAAACCACTTAGAAATTTGCAACAACAAAAATATTGTTACATCAGATGTGTACGTGTGAAACTTTTAACATGTTAGAGCCAAGTATCTTGATTGATTTTTCACAAGAAAATACATGAACCTTGGCTCTAAATCGGTATAATACAGTACATATTTTTAACAGTTGTTACTAAAAATGAAAATAATTACTTGCAGTAAATAAATAAAAATGTTTGACCTCAGTGTTTTTCACGAGTTGATAGCACAACGCTCCAAGAGTACTTGCTATAGTTTCATATCCAGCAATAAGAAAAATTATGGATTGACTTGTTATTTGATCTTCACTTAGATGTTTTAATTCCCCATTCTAAAACAAACATATCTAGTTTAACGGGACTGTAAGTGTAATTTCATTAAAGAGAGGCATACTGGATTCACAACGGTACTTTTTTATCTTTGACTGATCAAAGATTACAGACTTTTCCTTATTCAACTATAGAAACTCCTGTAATTGTTTACTTACTTAGCAAGCTGTTTTATATCTAAGTAATTATTAATTTTTACTTTCTAGAAGTGGCAGAATATAAATCTTCACATTGAAATTTTATAAACTGATTGGACAAAGAATATTCTAGATTTTCCAGGAATAACTGTAACTTTATCACTATTGAGTTCACATACTACACTAGTATATAACACTCCAATTCTTCGGCTTTTTTACACAGAATTACAGAGAAATGTGCACGAAGTTCTCTTTCCTATGTATTTAGTCATAGGGTTAAAGGGTACTCTTGTGAATTGGGGATGTCCCTCCTCAAATAGAAGGTTAATTGAAAATACACTTACAGTTCCTTAAGTATAATTAAGACATTTTTAGAAAATAATGAGTTACAAAATATTTCACCTGAACTTGCTTTTTCATCTCTGCCATTTTATCAATAAAATCCCCATTCGGTACTTTTCTCTCAGTCTCAATATTTTTGAATATTTTATACAATTCTTTCATTTCTGGAGGAACCATATCTAGATAGTTTTCTATGCCGGATAATCCCAAAAAGATATTCATGAAGAAAGCATCCATCACATTTTTGACTTTGAATCCATCAAAGACTCCATTTCCTAGCCGCAGCAGATCAGTGTTTCCTTCGAAACAGTTGATTTCAATTCCAAATGCACATTTTCCAATCACATCCATGGTCATCTTTTGGAACACAGGTTTCAGGTCTATTACAGGGTCTTCTTTAACTCTCTAACAACAGACCATCTTAAAGACAGTTGATCGAAAGACTTTTGTTGTTATACGCCATTAATAAATTTTTCTTTTGTCAATTTTCAAAATTCTAAGGTTCAAACATGAGAGTGGTATGCAAGTACTCTATACTAAAATATATATCTAAAAAAGTGAATTCCATTTTCGGATAAAGGGATGGTTTGTAGCTTATCTTAGTTTCAGATATCACCTCTGCAAATTGTTTTTATCATCCTATAATAGATCATGTCATTTGATTTAAATAAGTTAAAATGCTTTAAATGTGTTCCTTCTCCAGGTGCTCCATCATGTTATCCAATGTACAGTTCACATACTGCAACATGCCTTTAATCTTTCCAGATGTGAAGATGGGTGACATACCTATTCAAGAAAAAATAGTAAAACCTTTCATCTTGAGTTTCTTGTCAGTGCTTAAATCCAAATAATATAAATGTTTGAAATCTTAATTCAGTGTTAAATTTACAAACAATTTTAAGGCTGACATGATATTCCTTCAAATGTTTGAGGTTATTTTTTTTTATATTTTCCATTTATCCTCTCATTGGTAGTGAATTTTTCTCAAAATTGGTATACTTAATTAAAAGGACAAAGCTAAAAACTTATACCTTTAATCCCAATTGCTTAATCTTAATATCCAATGCAGACATTTAAATTTTTTTCTTATAATCTGCTCTTTTTCTTTCTTTTAGTCTCCCTGCCAGTTTCCGGCCAATATGTGTTCACTAATGAAATGTCGCGCAAAATTTTTAACTTCCAGGTTTCTCTTATTGGCAGCTAACAAAAAGAAGATCAAGCATTGATCTCAATATCAACAATGTTAAAGTTTTCAGCTCAAAAAACTTTGTCTATGCTCAAGTTTGGCTGGTCTATTTGTCTGTTTGTATTATAAAAACCATACTGAAAATCTTAACCGATCGGGTCCAACATTTTTAGTGGCAGCTCACATAACTTTACGAGTCTAGGTTTATGGCTGGTCAAAATTGAAAAATTATACCCAAACCATGTTTACATTTATCATTTTTTTAAATCCACCAATTTCAACAGGAAACTGTCCCAAAAGTTGTCCTTTATGGAGAACTGTGAAAAATGGCAACTTTACTAAAGAAGTATAAAGTGCTGTAAAAGCCTAGTAATCATATAAATCAATCAAGAAACTCTTTAAGTGATGTTTGATGATTGTAAATTGTGATGGTGCACTTTTTTTTTAACAAACTTGAATAAAAATATTCTTATCACCTTTTCTCAATTCTTTCCATTCCTCCCCATCTGCCATATCCAGGGTTCGAAACTTTTGGTCTCCAAATTTGAAAAGATGCCCATGAAAGCTTTCAAAATCCTAAATTCAAAATTGTTTACATAATGTGTATGTATACCGATGTCAATCATTTATAAAACAGCCTCAACTGATTAGTTTGTTTACCTTTGTAGTAATTTGCTTGATAAGATCAGCGTCTGCTAAATACACCATAGGCTGGCTTAAAATATATGCTCCAAACACTTTTCCATACTTGGCAACTCTGCAGAATAAAAATAATCAATGACCGATTATGACTAATGACTTAAACTTGTTCTTTACAGACACTGTGATCTGGCCATGGGAGTATATTTGTTGCATATAATGTGGTGGGTCACCCCTACACAGGGTAGCCTGACTGGACAGTACAACTGAACGCATATAAAGTAAGTTTTGTAATTGCAGGGAGCATGCAACTTTTAGACAATACCACAAGATTTTAAAATAGCGTATTCATTAGTCATTAGTCATTAGTCATCTGAGGGTAATGTTACATTTTTTATATGCAATATTCTCCCTACTGAACTTCTGACCTAGACCTACTAACTTTCCGACCTACTGCAATATTGGACCTATGCCAGCTGTTTATTTTGTATCATTTGAGGGCTAGGTTAGGGTAAGACAAATTCTGGGCTGCAGCCAGGACAGGCTATTTGGCCGCAGGCGCTATGGCCACAAGTCCATATAGCAGCTGTAAAACCACGTGCTAGTAGGTCGGATGTGTAGTATAGCAGATTTGCGTAGGTCGAAAAATACACCACCCATTTGAGGTTTCTCTTTTCCATGAGGAGGAAGGGGTTCAATGGCTCACCTCTCCTTGTCCAACTCTGCTAGTTGATATTTATGCATTGCCCATGGTCCACTCCCAAAACACAGGAAAGGAGGTATAACAGGCATACCACACTAGAAAATAAAAATAAACTGGAAGCAAGAAATATACACTAGAAGCCCACAGAAATCCATGTTTTTAAAAATTGCTAACTCCAAATTCTTTTAAATATTCATCCCAGAGACAGTGGTTAACTTTAATGTAAACAAAGTATGGTGTATATTTCTTGTATGGAAAGAAAATCATTCTAAACTTGATTTTCATTTTGGTACAATTGAATATTATCACATTGCTTTCCGTTTTCATGACTTGTTCACATAAAAAAAAGTTAATACGGATCCAACCTTTTCAAGTTTTCCATAGTTTCTTCTTAAATAAATCCACAAAAGAAGAAAAAATCCGGCTAGAAGCCACAAAAACATTATATAGGTGTAACCGTGTAATCTGAAATTATTGACTAGCATGATTATTGTTTATACCTTGACATTAAAGATATGATCAAACTTTATTTCGTATATCAAAGAAACCCAACTATCAAAACCTCTCAAAGACTCAAACCCCTTGATCTGATACTATCAGTTAAATAATTATTGAATAATTTTATTTATTCCTTTGTAATCTGAATTTTGATTTCACATAATACAGAAAAGCTCATTAAGTTTAGGCTACCAGTTTATTGGTACAACTTAGACTTGAAACCACTGCAGTTAAAATTTTTAGTAAAAGCAGAATTGCGTAGTTCCTCCTGGGCTGTGAGATGTGTACTCAATTCTTACTGCGCTTATTCTACATTATATAAGCAGTAAGCACTAAGTAAACTAGGAGCATTGCAGTGCAGTATGAACAGGACGTTGTACTTCTAACGTTGTGCTCTGTGAACTCCTTCATTATACTGCAAAGGTTAGTGTGCACAGATCTTCGCTGACTTGTATATTCTGAACCCTGGGGCCTGGACTGTACACTGCACTGCACATATACCCGATTCATAGATATACAAGAATTCTTGTTTTTCTATGACCCTGCAATTACTGGAATTTGAAGATGAAAATGGGATTTTTTGGGCCATTTTTTAAATTAGAATAATGGCATTTAATCAATTGGAAATCACAAACATATGAAACATAATATTTATCAAAAATTGAATTGGCAATTTGAAAAATTGAAATTTTCATTTTTTGATTTCTATATGGTGTAATTTGGATTGCTTATCATTTTTAAAAACGATCGAAGAAAACGATAGTTTTTCTTTCCTTTCTCGTTTTTCAAAGAAATACTTTTACGTTTTTATTTTTAAAAAGCTATCGTTTTTATAAAAGATATATAAATGAAATATTTACTATTATTAAATGAACTATTAATTCTATAAATTCTATATAAAAGGGGGGGGGTTTATCAGGGGGAGAGGGGACTTGTTTTAACATGGTAAATACTGGGGTTTAAAGTTTTCAAAGAGTTCCTCGGTTTGGTTAGTGCAAAAAAGTTTTCGAAAATAAACTCCTAAATTTTTACACTGAAAAAGTCCTGTGGAAAAAAGTCCTTGAAATAAAGTCCTATCATTTTGAGACTTTAATTTTTAGGACTTTTTTTCTGGTTCCATTATGAATTTATGCAAAAAAAAGTCCCCGGAAAAAAATCCTTTTACTGTGTAAAATGCATGGAAACAAAGGATGTTTACAACCATGGAAAAAAGGGGACTTGCTATTAAAAACGTTGTTAATTTCAATATGTAGATGCATAGATGAAAAATCAGTTTTATGAAAACTTCTAAGACTTGACCTCATTTTTCCAAAACGTAGGACTTTTTACTTACGGATTTTAATTCCTGTGATCTTTTTTCCTGAGACTTTATTGGCAGCTTCCATATTAATTTAGGAAAATAAGTCCAGGAATTTAAGTCCAGGACTTTATTTCCAGTGACATTTGGTCCTAGGACTTCCGAAGATGGGGATTTTTGTTTTCCAAAGTGTTTACCAAAGAGAATAGAGGGGAATTTAGACAATATCCTTTGGTATGAATTTTGTTAAAGCGTACAAATCATGTAAATGTTCACAAATTATAAGTATACGCAGTAGAGTACATTAATACAGTATGTATCCATTTCAATTTTCAAATTTTTGAAAGCTGTTAAAGAAACTTTTAAAAATGAATTAGGCGAATAAAAAACATCATTTGATTTATAGTTATAACGGAAAATCATTGTTTGTAAAGTGAAAGGCATAGAGTCTGTGTGAAATGATCATTGGTCAGTTATGAAACCAGTCTATTTCATAATTTGGTTTTCTTTTAGTATTAATTTTAGATTTTCTATAAAATGATATTCCAGGGCCCAAAAGGTTATTTAACGCAAATATGTGAAGTACACCTGCAGTATGGAAACAGTATAACAAAATGGCCGTTTTACACTTTTTTCTAATAAATTCTACTCTAATATATATTCTATTTTCAGTTCTGGTCTTATTGCTTTTCTAAACATTTATTTTGAGAAAAAAGGTTCGCAGATTTTTGTTTTTGGGCCAAAGGAGTAATTCAAAAAAAATCTAAAAATATTGAAAAAACAGCATACAGGAGAGTTGCACAAAAATGCACAATTTTGCATCAGGCGTCGCTAATCACACTTTTTAAGACTCACCCTATATAGACCTTGTATACAAACAGGAAAAGTTTAAATGTATCTATGTTCTGTATATTTATATATATACTAGACTTTTAGGGGGCTTGGCGCCCATCTTTTATTTCAATTGTGAACATGTTCTTAATGTAACATTGAAAAACAAAGAAAAAAAATTTGCGGATTTTTAAAAAAGATTTGCGAATTTTCAAGATTTTAAATTTTTTACATAATTAGGAAGCTTTTCAACACAATTTTTTTAAATTTTCATCATTAATGAACCTTCCCTGGGGATCCCACAAAAAATTTGGGCCTGATCGGTTCAGCCTTTTATTGGATACAAACAAACAGACAGATAAGCCAAATTTGTATATAGATATACCATTGTATACACACTGGAAGGGTTAAAATGTATCAATGTTCTGTATATTTATATATATTTATTCCCAGGATGGGTTTAAATGTATCAATTTTCTGTATATTTTTAACTTTAATAATTTTTTATTTTAATTAAATTTTACAATATTAACATTTTCTAGTTTTTTATTTCAAGTAATACATAGAGGTGGAAGGATGGGAAGTCTGCCATCCTGTGTATTTGTCTTCATTTGCTAACAGTGAAAAAATTAGATAGTGTAAAGCCTAAATCCCCTTCTAATTTTCCTGTTCAAAGTTTTCTTCTTCTTTCTTGTTTATCTTGTTTTAAGACCCCATATCAACTGTCAAAAGATTTCCCATCCACTTTTTTTTCTGCTCAATTTCTTTTTTTCTTGCTTCTTGTTTCTTATTTTTACACTTTAAGGCCTTTTAAAATAGATCTTTTTACATTGAGTTATTGCAAAGACGACGGATTATATCCCTTCTCAACAACCCATTAAATTTTCGTTTTATTCCATCAAAATGTCCTTATGCAAAACATTTTTGGTCGGTAACCCCCTGAAAGGGAGTGTGCGCGAATGATAAAAGTGAGTATGTTGATACTTCCTTTATGTTGCTTTAAATTAGTAGCAATTTCATAGCTAAATGATGTTTCTATAGAAAAAAAACTTTAAGAAATACCGTTTCCATGCGGCGGTGTGAAATCTAATATGTCCGATATTCCTATTTATAAAGTATTTCTCTCTGCTTGTCTGTTCGTTTGTAGGTCCGATCAGAACTCAGAAACCCTTTGACTACTTTGCAATATAATCTGGATATATCTGGAAATATCTGTAATCTTTTTAATGACAAAATGGGTATTTTTATTCTAATCACTCAAAATTACGTCAGACTAACCACAATTTTAATTATTAACATTAATTCTAATCATTTGATTTTCATAAAAAAAGCAAAACAATCTATTTCAAACCACAGTTCTGCTAGAAAACTCCTACTTTGTGTAGTTGCCTTTAGTCGACTTAAAACATGTAAAATAGTTTTCCAGAAAAATTTCAAACCTAAGCAGAAATATTTATTTTAAATCATAGATATTAGTTGAAAATCATCACCAGACGTTAATTTTGTCATTGAAAATCTTAAAAAAGATAGTATTTTGGCGTGCTACAACTTTAAAGGAAAAGAGTTACTCAACGATTAACTTTATTTAAAAACTTAACTTATATAGTAAAATAATTGAATCTTTAACACATGATTTTATATCAGCTGATCTGGAAACTCCTCCTTGGATTTCTCTAGAAATATTCAGGAAGACGATATTCATATCCGCCACAGTATAATTGAAAAACAATCAAAAACAGTTGTTAAGTTTAAAATTAAAAAACAGATATGAAGCAAATTTTTATCTAAAATCTAAAAATTGCTAAACTTTATTTCCTTTTTTATCTATATCACCAAAATATTTAAAAATCTGTAATTGAGATTCTTCAGGAGATATTTGTGATTAAATGGTAGATGATCGGATAGAAAAGAACAAACCTGTCAAATCAGCATTCAATAATAACTCTATCTAAATCTATATGTAATTTCCTCTAACGATTCTTATTCCAAAAAAAATAAAAGTAAAAAAATTAGAATATTTTCAATCCAAATAATATCGATCTTAAAACTCTGTTCTTGAAAACACGAGCTTTAAATAAAGATAATAATTTTTACATTTTTAAAATAATTCTAGAAAAAAATTAATAAACCTGAGTTTAAAACAAAAGTTCGTATTATTAAACTTTTTATCAACGTTTTTTAATTTCACAAATCTTGTCTCAAATAAGATTCAGTCTGCCTATAAAAAGTCTTATCAATTTTTAAGACAAGATCGACTTTGAAGTGTCACAACGCCTTGGGCTTTGATTTTACTGCTCTAACTCACTTATGCTTTTCTGAAGCCTGGTATATCTTAGCACTATTAAGCACTTGTTGAATTTTGTTTGTAGTAAGTAATTGGCAAAATTCTAATTGATTTTTGCTTGAGACTTTTAGATTACAGTGGACTATAATCTGATGTTTTCAGTACTAATCTTGACTCTCTGTTGCTTGATTTAGAAAATGTCAAGCGGAGGTACTCTTTTTTAGATCTATTTCTGCTCTGGACAAGGGGGGTAAAATGTACAGGTTAGTTTTAGAAAATGTCAAGCGGAGGTACTCTTTTTTAGATCTATTTCTGCTCTGGACAAGGGGGGTAAAATGTACAGGTTACCCCTTTTTAAAAATAATTTAACAACTTAATTATGTATACCGGGGGGGGGGGTATTCCGCACAGCTCAGAGGCAACTGGCGTTAAGATCTTGAAATGTTTTGAAATTCTTAGATGTTATTCTTTTAATCGCCTTTAATTGTTTGATAATAAATGAAGTTTAAGTTAATAAATTATAAATTGGTCTGTTTACATTGCACAATTACTGTGACTCATAGTCATAATTTAAGTCTTAAAGCCATCTTCGTTTTCAATAGTTTTTTTGGCTCTCATTATACAGTGGTAACCAGAAAGCTGTATATCAGAAAGAATACATTAAAGAAATAATAAATAGTATTTTATGCTGTTACAAAGCAAATAGTTTATCTTGTAAATTATAAAAATAGTTGTTAAGTCATTTGGGCCTTTTTACACCGCACAATTGTGGTGTCTCATGCTCTAAAGTCATAAATTGAGTGTGAAAGTCGTCTTCGTTTTCAATAGTTTTCTGTTTCTCACTATAGTTGACTTGAGAATCGATAATAATTGATGATTTTATTAATAATATTTTTTTGATAAAAAACTAGGTCCACGTCAACATCATCTGGTTACTCGGCCTCTGGAATGATGAGTCCGACGGTTAAAGATCTTGAGGTAAATATTTAGATAACAAAAATAATAATTTCAGATCATTTTTGTTTGATTGTTTTATGATTATCACTAAAATTTTGCGTCCAGAGAAATTTAACGAATTTTGAGGTAAAGTGTCAAAAAATATATAATATTTTTATTATTCAATAATTTTTTATAATTCTTACAAAAAAATTGAGTCTTTGCTACAAACTCTCATCCAATGTGGTGGACCTTAGATATTCTAAATTATGAATTCAGTTTCAGTCAAAGGTTTAAAAGAGACCTGGTTCAGAAAATTTGAGTCTCAATTCCTACATGCGGAATTGCGCAAAAATTTTGCGCTTATGGAAATCCTAATTTTAAATAATTATATTTTATAACAGAAAGAATTATTACAGCTTCGACACAAGATTTTTTTTCACAGTTTTTGCCAAATAATACAATTGAATTTAGGGAATGCGAAGTGCGAATTTAAAAGAGTTAAATAGTAGGCTGGTCAGCTACGTTGAGAAGGTAAATATTTAGTTTATATTCAAACGATTTTAATTTTAATGATTAAATCAAGGGTATAAAGTGATGACTTATAGGTCTTTTACGCAACATAACCTTCCTCCAGTTTTGGATAGTATTATTATATTCTTGTTTATAGCTTCAAGATAAAGGGCTACCCATAAAAAAATGAGAATTCAGAGGCGACTGAATGTAATTTTGTCAGTTTCACATTTTACAATTAAGGTTCCGCGCAGCTTAATATGTCCATTTTCTGTTTCCAGCTCATCAAGGACTTTATTCAAGAAAGAGGGCTGAATTTAACCTAACAGGTTTATTTAAAAAAGAGGGATGAATTAAACCTGACAGGTTTATTTTAGAAAGAGGGCTGAATTAAACCTGACAGGTTTATTCAAGAAAGAGGGCTGAATTAAACCTAATAGGTTTATTTAAAAAAGAGGACTGAATTAAACCTGACAGGTTTATTTAGAAAAGAGGGATGAATTAAACCTAACAGGTTTATTCAAGAAAGAGGGCTGAATTAAACCTAACAGGTTTATTCAAGAAAGAGGGCTGAATTAAACCTAATAGGTTTATTTAAAAAAGAGGACTGAATTAAACCTGACAGGTTTATTTAGAAAAGAGGGATGAATTAAACCTAACAGGTTTATTCAAGAAAGAAGGCTGAATTAAACCTAACAGGTTTATTCATGAAAGAGGGCTGAATTATACCTAACAGGTTTATTCAAGAAAGAGGGCTGAATTAAACCTAACAGGTTTATTCAAGAAAGAGGACTGAATTATACCTAACAGGTTTATTCAAGAAAGAGGGATGAATTAAACAGGTTTATTTAAGAAAGAGGGATGAATTAAACAGTTCTATTCATGAAAGATGGCTGAATTAAACCTAACAGGTTTATTCAAGAAAGAGAGATGAATTAAACCTAACAGGTTTATTTAAGAAAAAGGGCTGATTAAACCTAACAGGTTTATTCAAGAAAGAGGGCCGAATTAAACCTAACCGGTTTTTTTTTTCGAAAGAGGGCCGAATTAAACCTAACAGGTTTATTTAAGAAGGAGGGCTGTCTTAAACATAACAGGTTTATTTAAGAAAGAGGGCTGAATTAAACCTAACAGGTTTATTTTAGAAAGAGTGCTGAATTAAACCTAACAGGTTTAGTTAAGAAAGAGGGCTGAATTAAACCTGACAGGTTTATTTAAGAAAGAGGACTGAAATAAACCTAACAGGGTTATTTGAGAAAGATGGCTGAAATAAACCTAATAGGTTTATTTTAGAAAGAGGGCTGATGTAAACCTAACAGGTTTATTTGAGAAAGATGGCTGAATTAAACCTAACATGTTTATTTGAGAAAGATGGCTGAAATAAACCTAACAGGTTTATTTAAGAGAGAGGGCTGATGTAAACCTAACAGGTTTACATCTCTCATATTTAATGAGTTTTGGGTCGGCGTTAAATTTTCACCTTTTGTGGTTACCCCTGTATAATGATATATATCGCATATTTTTGAGAAGATTACTAAGACAAATTACTTACCATTTTATAAATAGAAAAGATTTAAGATTTTTATTTTAATCATTTTGGGCACTTCATTTAAACAAGTAAGGGCCAATTAACAACGATACCATTTCAACCTTTATCTGATCAAAATGTGAAAGATATCGTGGTTTTTTAGCTTAAACAAAGTTAACATTTTGTAGTTTTTCTGTCTGAAGCAAAAATCCACAAATCACTTTTATTAAGAAACCGCAATTTTCAGAAAGAAAAACTTGGATATCTCATTTCTTCTTGATCAATCAAAGCTGTTATAAATACCTTTGTGAATCAGACATACCACTATATTTCTCTATGAAGGTTCGGATGCTGCACCAGGCTACTGATGTCCTGGATAGTATAACTAAACAGTCCAAGGGGTAAAATTTAAAATAATTTCAAATTGTTTGTGTTGAATTATTTTTTTAATTAGGGCAAGACTTTTCATTGTTTCCACGGTTTAAAAGTATTTTTCAATCAACTCTTAGGATTTTCATTTTTGGGATTCTCTCTGATTTTCTTTAACCTTTCTGCTATACATTCTCGTTTTATATCAAATCTCTCTCTAAATTAACATTTTAAAAATATTTTTCTGTTTTCAGCAATTTTTTCCTTTATATATTTCCTGTTACCTGATATTTAAGAGACGGTAAGAGTATGCAGGAGGTGAAGGTGCAGTATGAAGCTGAGATCTCTGACTGGAGAGCTAAATATGAAGAACTGCTCTCTCACATCAATAAAGCTAAAATAGATGCTTCTAACTTGAAACAAGACAATAAACAGCTTACAGTCAGGTAATTATTAATTAGTTATCTTTTGTTTTTAAATTTTAATATTCAGTATTTCAATCAAGTTTAGAATGATTATAGACTGTTGTAATAGAGTGCATTTTATTATCCATAAATCCATAAATGCCGGAATGAAAAAAACCTGACTCTTTTCGCCATCTCGCCAGCTTTTTTGGGGGGCTTCTGATTTCAATCCAAAAAAATGGCTAAAAAAGTGTTCTCTGATGGGGATTACATTGCAAAAGTTATATCTTGGAAGTATTACTATACCATTGAAAAATTAAATTGTTGTGGGGCGCCATTTAAAAAAAAAATTTGAGGTAAGTACTAGGTCATCTGTTATGCATGTCAAATCTGCGTGACCTTTTTGTCTCAAGATCTAATATTTTAGTTTGGGAGAGAAAGCAGCTTCTCTGAGAGAACGTGATGCTGCTATTGCATCAATGGAAGCTGAGATCAATGAACTGTTCTCAAAGCTAAATATGCTTCAGAGTGAGAAAGGGAAATTTCAAGAGAGAGAACAGCTGATCAGGTATAACAGTAAATCTTGCAGAACAGCTGATCTGGTAGGAGAGCTGATCAGGTAGAACAGCTGATTTAGTAGAAGATCTGATCTGGTAGAACAGCTGATTAGGTAAAACAGCAAATCTGTTAAAGAAACTGATCTGGTAAAAAAATATGATCAGGTAAAACAGCAAATCTGGGTGATCAGCTGATCAGGTAGAACATCTGATCTGGTAAAACAGCTGATCAGGCAGAACAGCTGATCTGGTGAAACAGCTGATTTAGTTAATTGATGAGATTTATCAGTAGATCAGATGATCATAGAAATAATCAAAGTGGTGATTGTTTAAAAAGCTAAAAAGTTATAAAAATTATAAATTTAATGAAACTTATTATATATTTAATATCTATATTTCAGTAAGGATGTTGAAAGATTCCGGATTGAGGTTGAGTCTGCTAGGAAGAGCTTGGATAAAGAGAAGATCAGGAATGGTGAGCTAGAGGCTAGACTAAGGTAACACATGTTTGATCATTTCAAAGGAACTGATTTCTCTCCTCATGCTAAAATTTTCTATTTATAAATAAAATTTAAGTATTTTACACCAACATATTGTAAAGATACAGGGATTTTTAACTTGAGTTTGAAGTAAGTAATCAGTTTCTTTGTTTATCAAACTAATGGGTAAATGTTTTGCTTTAAAACATCAAGAAATATCACCATTCTTCTTAAAAGTCGTCTTCCTTTATACTACCTTATCCCTAGGGCGTATGAGCAGGAGATGACCTTCAAGGTTCAGGTTATAGAAAGGGAACTGGCAGAAGAGAAGAAGAGAGGACGGATTGATATCTCCTCAATAGATACTAAACTCAAGGGAGAATATGAAGCAAGGTAGGAACCTGTTTCTGCTCCTGAAGTTTAAGGGTTTTTAAAGGGAGTGTTCGCGAAAAATGAAAGGGGGTATAGGCTTAGTGCGATAAAAAAGCGCTTTTGATCGCTACTAATCTTACTTCTTTCTGTTGCGTCTATCAGGAGAAAATTGTTAAAGACGTCTCAAACCGAATAACTTAGCGGACATACAAATTCAGAAAATTGCGACATACGACTTAGACTGTAAAAAAATCAATTTAATTTCAAACAAATCATTCAGATATTACAACCTATAGTCATCGATTATCTTTCGCCACATTTGTATATAGTTTATATTTTATAATATTTTTTAATTAATTTGCTTGTTTCTCTTGTCGCTTGCGCAACTATCTAAGAATGCCGCACACCACTCACAATTTTCGAAATCCGTTGAAAACGTTTTCTAAAAAAATAAAATATTATAAAATATAAACTATATACAAATGTGGCGAAAGATAATCGATGACTATAGGTTGTAATATCTGAATGATTTGTTTGAAATTAAATTGAATTTTTACGGTCTAAGTAGTATGTTGCAATTTTCTGAATTTGTATGACGCAACAGATAGAAGAAAGATTAGTAGGTATCAAAAGCGCTTATTTATCGCATTAAGCCTATACCCCCTTTCATTTTTCGCGAACACTCCCATTTATCTAAACTTTCAGGTCGTCATTCCAATCTACTTTATTATGTCGACCATTTTAAATTTCATAATTTGATTGATATTTCCTCTAAATTCATAGGTTTAATTTTGAACTGGATTAATTTAACAGACAAAAAATTATTTGTTATAATGAGTAAAAAATGTAACAATTTCTATTTGAAAAATATGAGAATATTACTCACAAAAGAATTGAGCCTTTCCCTCAACCTTCAATTTTCTAATCCCTATATCTGTGCAACTTGATGGCGTAAACATTTGATATTTCAAACTTAGATTATTTGATCAACCAGAATTCAGAAAGATCTAAGTTCTACGACATTTTTTGCAAAGATATTGTGATAGAAAATCAAAGTTTGTGACAAAGACTCAATTTCTTTCTTCGCTTATTAATAATTTACTCTCTCATAATTTAGCAACACTTGAGTTTTTGCTTTAAGAACAAATTATACATGATATTTTCCCACTTGGATCCGAATCCAGGGAGCTCAAACGCTGTGGTTCATAGGATCCGGATCCATGGGAGCTCAAACGCTGTGGTTCATATGGATCCGGATCCAGGTAACTGAAAAAGCTTTGGTTTCATTGGAACCGGATCCAGGGAGCTCAAAAGCTTTGGTTCCATAGGATCCGGATTATGAAAGCTCAAACGCTGTGGTTCCATTGGATCCGGATCCAGGAAGCTCAAAAGCTTTGGTTTCATCAAATCCGGATCCAGGGAGCTCGCAGGCTGTGGTTTTATTAGATCAGGATCCAAAGAAATGCAATAAACAATATTTACAGGCTGCAAGCCGAGCTTAAAAAGCTGCGAAGGATGTATGAGGAGCAAACAGAGAAAGCCAGAAATGAGTACATGACTGTACACTCTAAGAAAGTATGTAAATTGTACATGATGCCGATCGTAGAGGGTGCCCCAGTGAACATAGTAGTAATGTGACGACTTGAAAATCATCTTTAATCTACGCAAATCGTGAATCTGATCATCACAGAAATAGAAAATATTTAAAAAAATATTCTCTAATTCCAAAAATGTTCACATTTTTTCGTTAACACAATTATAAAAGTTCTTTAGTAAAACATTACCACAGATAACTCCTGGTTTGGGGTTTTCCATTCTATTCTTCTATTTTTATACCTTTAAGATTTGCAGATATATTTTACACCTTTAAGATTGATTGAGATATTATAAAGTTTTGAACTATTTTTTAAACTTCAATTATTGGCGGAGATAATCTAAACCTTTAAAGATTTGATGAGATATTTACGTTTAGGATTTGTGGAGTTATTTAGAACCTGTAAGCTTAGCGTAGATATTTTAAAACTTTAAGAATGGCGGAGAAATGTTAATTATTATTTGTGGAGATATTTATAATTTTTTTGAAGAAAATTAAAATTGTTTTTGATTAAGGTTAATCATAATATGAAAAGCCTGAAGGCGGCCCATTATTATAAAAATGTAATATTTTATCAAAAAATAATTCTTAACTCAATATACTATTCAGTCAATTGTATCATAAAGGAACTTAAAACAAATAACTACATCTTTGTAACCTTTTGATTTATACATTTTAAATTTTAAATTTTGCCCATACTAAATCCAGCAGAATTCATAGTTTGAACTATCAAAACTTTACACCATTAGGTTGCAAAGAAATAGGAATTAGAAAAAAGTTTTATGTTTGTTTTAAATAAATTTTTTTTATATTTTTGTAGCTTGCTGAGATTCAACAGGTTTTGAACAGAGAGAGATCTGAAAATAGCAGTGCTACAATAGAACTAAAGGTAAATATTGAAGATATTATTGGAATAATATTATTTTGATCAAACTATTTCACTTTTAGGATGTCGGAGCAAAGATAGCTGAGTATAAGAAGATTATTGGTAAAAAAAGGATTTTTATCGTTTTGTTTTATCTGTTTGGTTGAGTTGGAATATGCTGTTTATCTTCTTTTTCTATCTTTTTATTAAACATGAATCTGAATATCTGAACCCATTTATATCACATGCCTGTAAAATAAATCCTTAATACGTTTTCCATATTGTGGGGAAATTTTTTAGGAGTCATTTGAGACTTATTTGACGTTTTTACAGTGCGTATTTTTTCAGCAAGGGCGAAAATTCAATCTTTTAAATCCTCATAAAGGGATATTGAGGGATAAATTTTAGAATCGGTTTTTAAAAAAATTATTCAATAACGACGACGAAATATGTAGTAAAAATTCTAAACTAAACTAATTATTTGTTTAGGAACAGGTTGAGAAAATAAAAATTAACTATTATCATCGAAATTAAGTAATCTTATTCAGTAATTGGTTTCTGTAATGTCTCATTGTTCTTTAGATTTCTTGGAATTTTCATTGAAAAGACAACATTCGAAGAATTTGAAGAAATCTGCGAACTAATTCATAAAAAATAAGAAATTTAATATAATGATGAAAAAGAAATAATTGATTTTAATATTGATTTATTGAGAAAAATTTAATTGAGAAATATGTTCTTAAACATCTAGTTAATTTACTGTAGAATATTTAATTTCATATTTTGTCGTCGTTATCTAATAAGTTAAAAAAAAATCAATTCTCAAACGTTTATATGTCTATATGTCTCAAATGAATCTAAAAAAATATCTCCACAGTTCAACTACCATACATTGCCGGCCACTCCCTTTAATAAACTCTTGAATGAGCCATAATCAGTTAATCAATTTATTCCACGTTTATTTTGTGTGTTGATCCAATTCGTTTTTCTTTTATTTATGAAATCATTGAAATGTAGTTAAAAATCTGCCCTTTTTAAAAAGTTTTTGCTACAATCTAAAATGTTCTAATTCCTATTTCTTAGCAACCTGGCTGTATAGTGTATAGACCTTTAATATTTTAAACTTAGACTATTTAATCTAACATAATTTATAGCTTAAAGGTTCGTTAAAGGTTCGGTAAAGGTTCGTTACAAGTTCAAAGGTCTGTGACATCGGATTCAGGTCGCAAAGAAATAAGGATTAAAATTATAGAGTTTGTGCCAAAACTCAGTTCCTTTATCTGTTCCTTTATCAGTTCCTTTATCAGTTCCTTTATCAGTTCCTTTATCAGTTCCTTTATCAGTTCCTTTATCAGTTCCTTTATCTGTTTCAACAATTGTAAATTGCATCTCAAATTGTAACGAACTAACAAAGATGACATTCACCCAAATATTTATTTTCTAGGTAGCTTGGAGAAGACTAAGCTTGAGCTGACCCAAAGTGCTGGTGAACTAGAACAGAACTTGAGAGAGCAGGGAGCAGCATTCAGGGCTCAGATGACCGCAAAGGACAAAGAGATATATAGCCTGCAAGAACAGCTTAAAGTTGAGAGGTAAATTACAGTATAAACTACACACTATAATTTTATTATAATTATTTTTTATTATTTTTATTATTATCATTCATTCAGTTCAGACAGTTTTCCCAATGACTGTAGTTCACTCAAAATGTTCAATTTAAAAAAAGATTTATTTCGCAAGCAAAAAAATGAAACTATGGAATTTATTCAATATTTTTTTCTCTCATATTCCTCATTCTCAACAGCTCTCTAGTTGAGATTCTTATTGAAGAAGATAAAATTTAACATTTGGATTGTCACATTTAAAAAGTTTTTAGATCGTCATATTACGATCTCATTATCAAAAAACATTGTTTGTTTTTAGGGTTGAATATGAAGCACTGTTGAAGATCAATAACGATCTGGATCTTGAGATAGAAATCTACAGAAACATCATTGATGCTGAGCTTGACAGGTTACAGAAGTAAGTAGAAGCAAATCAGTCCCTTTAAGATATTGTCGTTTTTATAGTTTCTCAGGTTTTTAATTCTGAAAAACTTCCTAGAAAAAAGATTAAAGATATAGAATTTTCATAGATGACAAATATCCTATTTATTCTTAATAAGACAAAGCCGTAATGGGTATTGTTGGAAATAGAACACATGATTTAAATCTATTCTAGAATGAATGAGTCTGGGTCTGTTTCTATGATGGAGAGATTGAAGGGGGCTGCGGGAAACAGCTCCAGTGATTCTGATGAGGAGAAATCTAGATATTCATCTAGATCTCAAGTAATATTCTTTAAAAGATAACTCTCAAATAATGAGACTTATATCATGGCCCAAAACTCTTTGAATTTAGCAACCCATACACAAAATAGATTAATTGTTATACTAAATGAGATGTCAAAGAAAAAGAGTTTAACATAATTTAAGAATGAAGACCGAATTAATTCTGTACTGCAGTTCTTTCTGAATTCTCATATTTTGTGGGTAACTCTGTAAATAAATACTTTTTTTTTAAATCTCAAATTTTGTGTTCTAATCGTTCCAAGATTTTATGATTTTTTGGACTGAAAGTTTTTTTTCATTTAATATAACCCAGAATATTTTCCTCTGGTATCATATAAATATTTAAAAATATTGTAAAACTTAATTAAAATAAATTATTTAAGTTAAAAATATTTTGATTGACTGACTGATATATTGATTGACTGACTGATGATATATTGAATGACTGATTGATATATTGATTGATTGATTGATTGGTACAATAATCAGTTAATTAATTATTACTTAGGACTCTGTTGATGGAAGAAAGATATCACGGCAGATGATAACATCTACCACAACAAGGAGAACTTCTAAAGCTAGATTTTAATTTCAAATATAATTCAGGAAAACTATAATTACAAGTACCCTATCATTCTATCTTGAATATATTTCCTTCAATGATTTTGTAATTTTTTTGATTATTTTCATTGATACATTTATTCTATATAATTATAATATTTAAATTTAGTAAATAAAAATTCAGGTTTAAATCAACTATATTTTAAGTAGAGAAAATATGCAAGTAATGAAAGATATGATGGGATGAAGAATTAACGGATTAGATGAGGAATAAAATGGACAATATGGACACTGATATGATCCACAAACCTCACAGATGCTTAAAATGTACAAAGATGTGGCATTAAATGTTGTAACATGAAATTTTTCTGGTCTCAGTGGCTCAATTATGACTGCTTGTCTTGTCCTTGTAAGATTTGCCACGGGGAAATATCTAAAATTAAAGTTTAATCATATGAATTATTATTTTCTTTTAGTTTATCAATTTTATTATTTTTTTTTTTGCATGTTATTACCGTCTAATAGAATGGGTAAAACACTGAGAACTTGCAGTAATATACTCAAAGTACCAAATAGTCTTTCCAGGTTTTTCCACATCTGCATCCTTCAGAGTTGGAATTATACCAGATCGCACTAATTTGTTTGCATCAGGCTGAATAGTTAGAAAAATTAATTATCCATAGTTAGAATTCTTTGCAGGATATATTTACCTGCAGCATTATATATCCTGTTGGAATATCTACAACTAACATTGCCATTCCAGAGTTCTCACTTTCATTAGTACATGTCCAGCTGAAGCAACTGCGAACATCAATTTCAGATTTATTTCTTCCTCTAAAGCTCTCATATATGGACAATTTGAAACAATCTTCTGGAGGAGTATCCTTGAACGGTTCGTAATCAATTCCATAGTTTATATCCATTTGGGCAAGTGCTTGACCAGCCCCTGTAGCATACATATTTATATGCCCCCAAACATTAGGAATATCAAATGTTTGAAGCCTAGATACTTCATCACCATTTATTTTGATAAAATGGGTAATATTGGAGTCTGGAATATCAATCTTAATATTAAGATCAGTTAAGTCCTTAATTCTTGAGTTATAACTGTATGTTACCAATGCTTCCAAAGCAATAATAGTGTCTACGGTTGCTATGAAGCCCCCAACACCTAGTCTCATGGTATTGAGCCATTCAACTATCTGATCCTGTAAAATTGTAACACCACCTCCTTCAACCAAGAATAAAGTAAGCAGAGCATAACCAGTAGCTTCTACTGCAAGAGCATCATTGGGTTGTTTTGATTTAGCCTCTAGAAATGGTCTGTTAAACTCATATCTGACTCTGTGTGTTTCAATTTTAGTTGGACTCCAATAAACCTTTCCACTCTCAATCCGTTTCATTTTCATTAGTTTTCCATATGCAGCATCTGCTTCAGCACTTCGAGAGAGTGCTAGAGCATAGGCAGTTATGGCCAGGTCATAAGGATCCTCAATCATTGGCAAATTTTTTTCTAAATAGTGAACGGCTCTTTTTCTTGCATGTGCAACATATTTTTTTGTTTCTCCTTGTATTTTATCTGCAGTAACTTGAAGAGATATTAGAACATGAGATGTTAGTGCTATAGTTTTATTTCCTTGTCCTATTTTACAGGCCATAGCTTTATGTAAAGGGTTTGTATAAAATTCAGTTTCAAAAAAGGCTCCATTTTTATTTTGATAATTTATCAACCACAGAACTGAGGATTGGAAAATTTCAGGATCTACATAAATATAATCTTCCCAATCTTGGAATGAGATGGTTTCAAATATTCTAATGCTCCATGCAGTTAACCAAACTGATGGTTTGGCAGCATCCCAGTTTGAAACCCAGCCCTGAGAGCTGTAACGTCTCATTACTGCTGCATATTCAACATTCATTTGTTCAAATACACTTTTTGTCAACTCCCAATTTGACTGTAGTTGATTGGTAAGCCTGAAATAGTGAAGTTGCCAAGCATTTGAAGCAAGGTTGAATGTATGATATTCTGTTCCTTTCCCAAACCTCCCATTCCCATCTGGAAACATAGACTCAAGAGAGATAGGGTTCCCATCAATAAATGTTGGACCGATTACATCACCGCTTAATGAAAACTTTCCATATGGACTTCCAAATATATAACGTCTATATATTTCATAAGGTATAATAGGTGATTCATCTACTATTATATTCATGAACTCAAGCTCAAATGCTCGACTCTTTAAATCAAGAAGTACAGACGTATGCCTGTGTACTATACTGCCCTCAGGTATTATCTCAATAGAAACAATTTGACTTAAGGACATTATTTGAGTTGAGATACTCAAATCAACTGAAATAAAACCTTGATCACTGGAAAGAACAGGCTTGATTGGAAAATGAACATCCACTTCATTTTCTCCTCGAACATATACAAGATGTTGATGATCACCTTTGCTTGTTCTTGGGGAATAGCTTGTCACATACCCAAACTCTTCAACATGAATAAACTCATAGTCATCAGAACCCTTAAGTGTTAACAAGCATTCCAAATCTTCAGGTGAACGATTCATTACTATGCATCTGATGCCCACTGACTCCCCTCTATGAACCTTGGAAGGAGCTTCACAAACAAAATGTATTGGACGAATAGTGTCATATTCAAGTGGATCTATTATTCCAATTCCATTTGTCTTACTTATACTGAATGCACTAAAGAACCAACTATCAGTGATTAAAGGCACTTCAATAGTGTTGAACTGTTCTCTGTCTTCATCCATATTTATGTCAAACCATCCCCATATGTCAACCCCACTTTCAAAATAATCTGTAAACCTATTAAAGCGCGAAAGCTTAAAACCCAGGTTGTCATTTTGAAGTTCTAAAAATTCTTCTTTGCATTGGCTCTCATCCAATCCATCTTCACAATCTTTTTGACCATTGCAGATTTGAGCCTCAGTATAGCAGCCTTTATGAAGGCATGGAAACATACCTAAACTTATATTACATTGTCTTGTTAATGGGGTTTGGGTTATAAATACATAGTCTGTGAAAACCAACATGTCCTTTGACTCAAATGTTCTTTTGGCATCCACTCCATAGTCCATAGAAGGGTAAAATGTAACCTTGTCAAGGTATAAAGCATCTCTGTCTGTTGTATACAATTTATGAATGTGCTGTTGAGACTGTTCAAATGTGTGCAAACTTTCCAAAATTGATGTTTCAGTGATTGAATTTTTTCCCTGGGAGGAATAAAAGAAAGTTCTTGTTACTGAGGTTATAAACACAGCACCAGGATCTCCCCTAAATATAGCTTCTACAGTATTCTTTGAGTGATCCTTCACCTGATTAAGTTTGAATTCAATCTTGTGTCTATTGAATGTATTTACAGGGTAATATGCGGAGTCTGAAAGTAGGTAATCATCTGGTTTAAAAACTGAATAAACCATAATATGGAATCCAGGAGCCATCTCTGAAGATACAACTATACTAAACGTAGTTACTGCTGGATGTATGTCAGATCCATACTCTCTACCAGATGCTACAAGAATATTCTTAGAAACAATAATCCAGTCGAAGCTGGGCAAAGGAAAATTACTTTGTACATGAAAAACAACATAGTGTCCAACAGAAATGTTCTTTGTACTGGACCGCACATGAATAAATTTGTCTTTTGGCCCATAAGCCCCGTAGACTGTAGTCTCTGCAAATGTATCCCTGGAGCTGATTGAATCACTGTAGGTAGCACTAAGATAAAGCTCTTCTGTTAGCTTTGGCACCTTAAATCTAAATCTATGAACTCCAGTGTTTCGAAACTCTTCAAATGATTTCTCTCTGGCATAGATTTCATAAAATATAAACTCTGTGTTCTTGTCTACATCGTCAGTAAAGAATGCCGCTGGATTAATATTTTTTTCTGTGTCTTCTGCTGCCTTAGAGCCAAATAGTTGACCATAATGGGTCAACCAATCAATGTCTTGAAAAGCACTAAAATCACTCGTCAAACTTTTGGGGATAAATATTGAGGGCAAGTTTTCAACAGTTCCATCTTGCTTCTTAGCTCTTATATTTATATTAAGAGAAGATTCTTTCAAATCATCTTTAGAAAGTGGAACATAGTCACTATAGGTTATTGAAACTGTTCCTTCAAATAACATCCCAGGTTTAAATACCATTGGTTCACTGCCAAGAAACTTTAAAGTTAGGGTTGGATTAATTAGTTTTGAATCACAAAATCCTCTTTGAGTGCTGTTGTAATAGTATTCTGTGATAAATGCCTCTGCTCTTATTTGAATGTTAGTCAAACTTCCCATTTGCCTCTTGATGTCAGCAATTTGCAAGTAAAAATCTTCATTCGTATCGGTTTTTTGATGGAAATATCTTTGTTCCGAACTAATATAAGTCCACTTATTAACAGGAGTAGCTTCAATGTTTGGACTAAAAGATGAATCCAACGTCCCATACCTCTCAGGATCGGACAGGGTCAGATTAGACACTTGTTCATCAGATATGTTTCTGTTCTTATATCTATTTTGATGATGTGCATACTGTGAACGGTATTGAACACTATCCTGATATAAAGGGTAGAATCCATCACTAATCTTAGCATACCATCTGACCAGAACATCACCTTTTACAAGCTTTTCAAACAGGTATAAACCTAGAACATTAACAGAGATTACATTCTCTGTTTCTAGGATGAACGGAGGCATCCGCACATATACTTCAAACTTGGGAAGATAATATTTCTCAACTTTAATACGAAGATCCTCTCTCTGACCCTGAGTCTCAACACGTACTGTCCAGAATCCAACCTGTAAAGTTAAGATTTGATTTTGAGTTGGGAAGAACTAATTTCAATTGAATACAATGTTGGAAACCCAGCTTTGCCTGGAATCTCAACTTCATTTAAAAAAGTCAACTCAATTAACTTTGAATTTCCTGTGGTTCTATAAAATTCCCTTATCAAAATTTTATGCAAATCTGTTAAGTGGTTTATGAGTTATTATCAGACTTACACACAGACTAACAAAGTTACTACTATAAGGGGCTATATAGGCGTAATTTCAAAGATGGCAATGACTAATTGAAGCCTGTATCTGTTCAATAATGTGGAAGATATTGTCTTTTTAAGATTTTAAAGTGTTCTATTCTTAAAACTTTCCTGTAGTAAAGAAGCCCAAGTCACTTAAAGAGAACCAGCTATTGGAAATTATCAATTTTCAAAATCTAATAAAATACTTGATCAGACAAACTTTTTAAGGGTACTGTTGTGAATCGAGCATTGTCATCTTTGTTTGGAGGGTAAATTGAAATTACGCTTACAGTCCCTTTTATATAGAGATATCCATGTTAATTGTGAGTGTAGGTTATTCTAAGGTACCTTTGGGAACTCAGGTAACCAGAAGACTCCTGACAGAATCCCATTGTTTATTTGTTTAGAATTCCACTTTCTAAATGTTTTAATCTTTATTTAAAAAACAATTTGAATTTAAACCAACTCAAGGTTGTATAATAAGGTTGCTTACTCACTATGCGCTCCCATGTACGGAAAGTATCGTCTTCAAAGATATATAGATAAAAACCTTACATATAGGCGAGAGTGACGTCATATTAGGTTTTTATCAATCTTAGGAGACAACATTTTTCGTACATTGGAGTGCATTGAGAGTAAGCAACCTTATTATACAACCTTTGATTAACCTACTAATAGGCTCAGAGGTATTCAACAACATGTTTTTCTTGCTAATTAAATATTACCAACTAGGCTTTTGACACATCTTTTATTTTAACTTTTAATTCTGGCTCTATCTATACAAGTATCTTCTCTTTTATACTGTCTTACAAGATACAACTTAATCTAGTACTCATGGTTCCTCAATTTTTACAAACGGACAGACAAGCAAAATATATATATAGAAGACCAGATTTAATCAGAAGATTAAGAAAAAGAGGAGATCAAGCATTAATCCCCATATCCACTATTCAAAAGTTCCCAGCTCTGGTACTATAGATGCCAACAACGGATAATTGTATTTAAATCTACCGTAGGTATGTTTGGCAACCAAGCTCAAATATAAAGAATATTACCTGATCACAAATCCGTCAGGATCTATAATAAAAAGATCAGCAATATCTGTGTAGGGTTGAATTCCAGTATCTAACATCACAGCTCTTATTCTAAAAATATTCTCTTTGTTCTGTCTGTTTTCAATAAAACCTAATTTTGAAAAAATAAACGAAAAACTGACCTGACGTCCTGCCCCCCATTGTAGACTGCTTGGTTAGTGTAAATGGATATGGCAAGAAATTGTCTGGAGAACTCTAGAATAGTTTCATTCTCAAATACAACTGCTCCTCCTCCTAAAACTGATCCTTCTATCCGTAGGCGGTAAACAGAGTCTATATTGTTACCCGGGGGAACCTGAAAACCAATAGAGCTACGTCACTATTCGAAAAATAAAATTATGTTTAGATTTTATATTATTTTTATATTTTCCTAAATAAAAAAATTACAATTAACAATTAAAAAATTGGCATCAGATTTTTTTTTATAACTTCGAGCAATTTTTTCATAATTTTAAAACTTGTAAAACCTGCAAAATCTATAATTTGTTAATGGCTATGTCAAATCTTTAGACTGAAGACTAAGGACTAAAAAATGATTGTATAAAATTGTCGTATGCAAACTACCTGGAGAAAAATTGGATAAAACTGTGGTAAACTGACTACCTGGAGCAAAATTGGATAAAACTGTGGTATACCGGCTTCCTGGAGTAAGATTTGGATAAAACTGTGGTATACTGACTACCTGGAGTAAAATTGGATAAAACTGTGGTTAACTGACTACCTAGAGAAGATTTGGATAAAACTGTGGTATACTGACTACCTGGAGAAGATTTGGATAAAACTGTTGTATACTGACTACCTGGAGTAAGATTGGATAAAGCTGTGGTATACTGACTACCTGGAATAAGATTGGATAAAACTGTGGTATACTGACTACCTGGACATGATTTGGATAAAACTGTTTAATACTGACTACCTGGAGTAAGACGTGGATAAAACTGTGGTATACTGACTACCTGGAGATAAAAATTGAATAAAACTGTGGTATATTGAATACCTGGAGTAAGATTGTAAAAAACTGTGGTATACTGACTACCTGCAGTAAAATTGAATACAACTGTGGTATACTGACTACCTGGAGTAAGATTGTATAAAACTGTGGAATACTGACTACCTGGAGTAAAATTGAATAAAACTGTGGTATACAGACTACCTGGAGTAAGATTGTATAAAACTGTGGTATACTGACTACCTAGAGTAAGATTTGGATAAAACTGTAGATTACTGACTAACTAGAGTAAGATTGGATAAAACTGTATTATACTGACTACCTGGAGTAAGATTTTGCTAAAACTGTGGTAAACTAACTACCTGGAGTAAGATTGGATAAAACTGTGGTAAACTGACTACCTGGAGAAGATTTGGATAAAACTGTGGTATACTGACTACCTGGAGAAAATTTGGATAAAACTGTGGTATACTGACTACCTGGAATAAGATTGGATAAAAATGTGGTATACTGACTACCTGGAGTAAGATTGGATAAAACTGTGGTATACTGACTACCTGGAGTAAGATTGGATAAAACTGTGGATACTGACTACCTGGAGTAAGATTGGATAAAACTGTGGATACTAACTACATGGAGTAAGATTGGATAAAACTGTGGTATACTGACTACCTGGAGTAAGATTGGATAAAACTGTGGTATACTGACTACCTGGACACTGATGTAGAAATATTTTGGTTTCTTCTCTTAAAAGATGACACGCATGTAAGTATTAAAAGGGAATTCAGACTAAATTTGTATCCCTTAATGTTATCCATATTATTGCCTATAATATTTTTTTTCAGTTAAACCCCGATCATCTGTTCTATAATTATTACCATCAAATAAAGAAGCAGAGAAAGAAGTTTTATATTGGTCATGAAGAGGATATCAAAATACGGACTACCTGGAGTAAGTTTGGATAAGACTGTGTTATACTGACTACCTGGAGAAGGATTGGTTTAGATTCCAAAGGTTGTAGGTTTACATGATCTCCAAACACCTCAACTTCGTCCCTGGTGAGAGCAGCGTGAACGCGGGCAGGAGGGGACTCTTCTAGAAGACTTACAATCACCTAGTTAAAAGATTAATTAAAAAAATTAAATTTGGTATTTGGTGTTAGACCCTACCACCAGGCCTCCACGAATAAGATAGGTTGGAGGTCGTCTTGAACAACATATCCATATCTGATATTTGAACATGTTAGGTCTTAAACCACCCTGCCAACTATTACTAAATATGTTGGAGGTCGTCTTGAACACCATATCCTTACCTGGTAAATGGTGTTAGGTCAAACCCCTCCGCTAGCTATTATTAGATAGGTTGGAGGTCGTGTGAACACCATATCCTTACCTGGTAAATGGTGTTAGGTCTAACCACCCTGCCAGCTATTATTAGATAGGTTGGAGGTCGTGTGAACACTAAATCCTTACCTGGTAAATGGTGTTAGGTCGGACAACCCTGCTTGCTAGTATTATGTATGTTTGAGGTCGTCTGAATACCATATTTTTACCTGGTATATGGTGTTAGGCCGAACCACCCTGCTCGCTATTATTAGATAAGTTGGAGGTCGTCTGAACACCCTCTCCTCCCTTTCATCTACTCCAGCAGTTAAACTTATCCTCTGTTCTTTGATGTCTCCCACAACCTTCCTTTGACCCAAACTTAGCAAAGTATTGGATTCAAATTAGATTAGATTAACACAATGCATAAGGTTTTTTTTTTAAATATTTCAAATACTAAAAATTTCCGAATTAATTAAATCTTTAATTGATAGATAGATAGATTTACGATAGATGTTCAAATGGAACATTACTTAAAAGAACTAACTGGCCAGACACATTTCAATCATGGTGGTGGAGCTTACAGTGCAGTATTGTAGAGAATTTGTTTGGGATTTTAGGATTCATTTAAGACGTTTTGACTGTTTATAAGAAAAGCAGAAATTTCATCTTTAAAATTCTCCTAGATTGTCCATTTTGAAGAATACATTGAAAGAACCGGGGTATTTAAACTTTACAGTAAACGAATAACATGTAAAGGAACATATTTCTCAATAAGAAATATTGATGAAAGCCATGCTAGAATCGATTAGTTTAATTTGTAATCATTATCTACTCTAAAAAGTATCAGCAGATTTCTTTTAATATTATCTTTTTAGCTTGAAACATTACAAGAAATTAATAACAGCGCCTAAAGCGGGAAAACTTGAAATAACGTTGAGAATTCATAATAGCTTATTTTCAATAATAAGAATACTTCTTTTCTCGGCCTGTTCCTATACAAGCCTTTTTATTTTACTGTATAAATTTTGGTCTCAAATTAATTCTTAAAAAAATCTTTGCAATAATGCACTCTAATTAATTACCATGTCTAGCACAAGTAATTACAAGTAATTAAAGAGAAGCTTTTTTAATTGACAGCTTCTCTTTGTTTTCATGTTTTTATGTATCCCTGCTGTTTAAAATCTTGAAGAAATCAACATTGAAATAGAAAGTCTTCTTCATTATAAATCTATATATAAGTTTAGCTTGTCTGTGTGTTTGTTTAATTGTTCGTATCCAATAAACGTCAAAACATCTGAACCCATCGGACCCAAATTTTGTGTGGGACCTCACGTGACCCCAGGGAAGGTTTATGAATAATCAAAATTACAAAAATTTGTGTTTAAAATTTTTTTATTTTTTGTAAAATTTTGAAAATGCTCGAAAAAATATTATGAAATCTGCAAATTTTTTTTATTAATATTTTACTGTACAAAGAGATGATGCTCAAAGATAAAACAACAATTAAAAGTTGAAAATACAAGATGGGCGCAAAGCGCCCTACAAGCATTAGTATTGATATATTCGCATACGACCGTATCGTCACGTCAAACTTAAGTAAGTTACACGTAAGGGTTGAATCCTAAATGTTTTTAAATCCCAACTCCTCTTTTTGTAGAGCAACAGAAAAGAGAAAAGAAAAAAATGTTTTCCAGAAAAATAAATTGTAATTCTTAAACATGCAAATTTTAAACATATTGCAATAGATCAATTTATATTTTTTTTTTTGAATGATTCTTATAGTTTAAACTATATATAGCATGTTTATTTCGTTTTTCGGGAATTTATTAAGAATTAATTAGATGTTGTGAATTTATAATCAAAATATTTTAAACACTAACAAATTCTTATATAAAACATGGTAAGCTCCTGAAGCAAATACTATTAATTATGAACCACTCTTTACCTTAGCTTCACCAAATAAACCAATAGAATCACAAACCTAAATTATATAAAAGAGACTTTCAAGTGACCCTACATTTACAAAGCGGCATGTTGATTCACATGATTAGACAGAGACCATTCAAGGTTTAAAAGGTTTAGGATGCTATATTGAACCTTTAGACAGAAACCATTCAAGGTTTAATAGGTTTTGGATGCTATATTGAACCTTTAGACAGAAACCATTCAAGGTTTAAAAGGTTTAGGATGCTATATTGAACAGATTTGTTATCATGGTAGTAACGGAAAACCAAATATATTTTATTTTATACATTTTGGCTTACCTCACATTCATGTTCAAGGGATCCTATATTCATTTAACCACATGAAAGCTATTTTTAACTGTTCCGTCAGCTGATCAAATGTTAACCTTTGAATGGTCGGTTAAAGGGACCGTACATGAAATTTGAAGAGACTGTCCATGAAAAGGCGATTTACAACAGTATCCATGGAAACCTAAATCTGGTAAAAAAATGTGGAAGATGTTCTTGCTTTTCTTACTCGAAAGGTGTTTAATTCTGATAATTTCTCCATTCCTTCTAAGAAGCAAGAAATATGCAAGTTAGAAAAACCGCAAATGAAAATGAAAAGTGAAACGTAACAAAAACATGGAAATCTTTTTTATGCTTGACTGGAGAAAGCCTTTAAAGGTATCGTTGTTAATCAGGCATTGCCATCCTTGCCCGGAGGTTCACTTGAAATCCCGCTTACAGTCCCTTTAACATTTATTTCAAATCTTTAGTTTAGATGTAGATTTATTTTGTCATCTGAAAAATTTTTAAAAATATTTCGGGTTATATTTGAAAATCATTTGCGATCCTTCAGAAATAAACTGTTTTATTTACATTGAAATATTTCAAGACTGCAGAATATGGTTAAAATAATTGTTAACATTAATTTGACAAAATTCTTTAAACACAAATCTTTGTTTTTGATAGAAACACAGAAAACAACTTAAATTAAATAATTAACAGCAATTTGAAAATCTTTTTGCACACTGTATGGATCACACCTTTTGTATTCTGATTAAAAATAAGAATAGATATTAAACTGCAAGGTTCGGTGGATCCGCATTTGAACTATAGATCATTTGAACTACTGCCGTTTGAACTATAGATCATTTGAACTATTGTTCATTCCTCAGAATATATAAATATGTATTATCTGGTATTCATTCTAACAACTGATAATGACGAAATTTTAAGCAGTTTAAAATTTTTATATTTCATGAAAAAAAAACATCAATCATCACAAAATAGTTTTAATGATCAATCAAAATTTTCACATGCAGAAAAGATAGTTCAAATGAACAAAATAGTAGTTCAAATAAACCAAACAATAGTTCAAAGAAAATAGTTCAAATGAAGCGAAAATGTATGTAGTTCTGTCAAATGAACAAAAACAAATAGTTCAAGTGATACTGTGGAAAAACAAAAAAATTTAACTTCAAATTAATAAAATAATTGTTTAAAGAAAATAGTTAAAAAACATATAAATAGTTCAAAAGTGAAAAATCTAGTGATAGCTGGTATGTGAGGTCAGGTTTAGTAAAGACAATTTCCGGGCCGAGCGCTGCGGCTAGGACAGGCTATGGGAGGCCGAGCGCTGGGGCCACATTTATCAAATTGACAAAGAGATAGTCGTTGTGCGGGGTTAAATTAGGTTATGATATTTTCTGGGCCGAGCGCTGCACCTAGGACAGGCTTGGGGGCCGAGCAAGGCGGCCACATTTTTTTAATTGACAAGTGATATGTTGTGATAGCTATGACAGGCTAGGGGGCCGAGCGCTGCGGCCATGAATATCAAATTCATGAAGTAATATCCAATATATGGGGTAAGACATTTTCTGGCCAAGTGCTCTGGCGAGGACGGGCTAGTGGGCCGAGCGGTGCGGCTAGTAGTTCAAATGAACATAAAAATAGTTCATTTGAACTATTCTTTTGCTCATCTGAATTAATTTTTTAATACTTCAAAAAAACATGAAAAAAGTTCAAATGACCACAGAATGTTATCGTTTTAACTACTATACACACGTGGTACCACGTGCAATGGTTTAAACGACCAATAATTCAAAAAGCTATAGTTTAAACGGCAGTAGTTCAAACTAAATAGCATCGTAACTGCTTTTGTCTGGTTATAAGCTCGTGATCAGGAATGAATAAATTTAAAAATAATTCTATTGTTCTTTAATTTAATCGCGATAAGACAGGGGTGTAAAGACAAAAATATGTCATATACGTTTAGAAATAAATTTTTGTATATACACCTTCAACATTATCTCATTTTATATGAATATCGTCTATTTTTATATCAATCTAAACCTAGTTAAATGGCAAACTTTTAACTTTGCCATTTTATACAAAAGTGATTAACAAACAAACGACATTAGACCTGTAATTAATTAATGTAATGACAAAGTAAACAAATATTTACTTGAAAGTACGTAGAAAACAAATATATTACATTTTTAATGTTGTTTTCTATTTAAAGGAATTGAGTCTTTGCCAAACTCTGATTTTCTAATCCCTATATATGTACAACCCCATGTTGTAGACTTTAGCTTTTCAAACTATGTATTCTGTTAGATCAAATAATCTAAGTTTGAATTATCAAAGGATTAGAGCATCAGGTTGCAAACATATAGGGATTAGAACATTTGAGTTTGTGATAACTCAATTCCTTTGAAGAAAATGCCGCATCAAATAACTTTGTCTTTATATTCCACAGTGTTTACGTGTCGGCCCGGGGGCGAGTATAAAACCAAAGCAAATACGGTAATTTTGTTTTCTTGAAACTAACGAATTAGTTTAGTATTTTTTGTTTGTTTTTACCCTATATTTGTACAGCTTTATTTATTCTGAATTTGTTAATTGTTTTAGGTTTAAAACATGAGTATTTTCATTAATATTTTTTAATGTGTTCTCCATTTTACAAATATTTACTAGCCATCTGATGATTGCAACGATTGGTGAAAATTACAGTTGTTTAAAACCTAGAGTGATAAGTTGGGTTGGAGAGAGTATAATCATGAAATCATTAGTATTTATTAAATGATATTTGAAAGAACCTGTCAAATCTTTCCCTGGGATGTTTAGAAAGATGAAAATTTCCCTGTATGATAATTGAAGGACTGCATTATGGTTTTGGTGAATTATATTGGCGTACTAAGCCTAGGGGTGTCAGAAATGATTTTTTTTGCATATTTTTAAAAACTTCTATAAAACTTTTAAAGTTTAATTTTTGATAAAACTTTTTGTTTTGTTTCTTAAACCGGCATATTTTTTCTATATTTATTTAGTTAGGAGTTTGAGTCAAAATAAGTATTAATAAATAATGCTTTATATCGAGTAGATATCCTTAAACATACTGATGTAAAACCTTTCAGAAAGTAGGAAAGATTCTGCAAAAAAAAGTTGCCAAACCAAACAGATTTTTTTTTGATTTGCTTATGTCATTGAGTACTTGTGGTGTACATGAGTTCTGTATAGAGAGAAATTTAAGTTAGTTTAGTCCTTCTCATGTCCTTTTTCAGTTCTCGTCAATATGATAAATTGCTCAGTGAAATATTGATGTTCAAATAGTTCCATTCCCGGAGTTATTTTACACTCTATTATAAAATCCATTAAAACACCAAACCACCCCGCTTATCATTGAAGTACACTTTGACCCCCAGAAGTATGAGTTCGCGGACTGTACAATTCTTGGTGATTTTGCGTACATAAGCTATCTATGTTTATTTATTTATCTATGATAAATTTAAAATTAAACCAATCAGAGTCCACAATTCTCAGGTTTTAGGTTTGCGGACCGTACCGACCTGTACACCGTTTACCGGCAATAATCTCAAGTATGTAACTGAGTTACCATGAGTTACTCATGAATTAATTATTCATAATCACATTCACTCATCATCAGTCCAATCCAGTCTAACCTTGGAGACGAGCAGGGTTAGATGGAAGTTGTTTGTTTACTGAAACTAATTCATGAAAATAATCATGAATGCGAAATTAAGTGCAACAAAATTTATTTATTTTTAATGAATGCGCAATTTCGTGCAAAACTGGTTTCGTATTGATACAAAAATGATGCAGAAAATTAATTTCCTGATAAAATTCATTTCTTGCAAATAGATTATCAAATACAATAGGTAGCAACAGAGAAATGGACTAATGATACACGACGTCACAAGTGTCAAATATAACAAGGAAAACTAAATTTCCTCACAATAGTTGACATGTTTTCCAAGATTCAATTTAAAAGTTTAAGAACAGAACATAAAGAACACATATAATTGCACTTATTTCACTGTAAGAAACGCACTTTATTCTAAAATTATCATTAGTATTAATGATTTTGTCCGACAGAAAAACTGAGTAAGAATACAGCTGTACTGAGAGTGTACAAATTCTACGTTGCTATCTATTGTACTTGACAATCCATTTGATTTCGTGCAAAACAACGCAACTGCAGCGCAAGACTGTTCACCCGTGTAAACCCTTCTGTATCAGTTCTTCAAGTTCATCTAGATTCTATGAAACATACATCGTAATAATCTCGACTAATTCTAATTTTAAATATGAACATGAAAAGATAAATTATTTTATCCTACGAGTGTTCTTTTATATAGTTTATACGCAATCAAGCGTAATGAATGGATTCAATACAGAATAAATTACCCCACAAAAAAGATCAACAATTGATCAGCTCTACGATTTTCCTATAATAGATACCCCTCAGCAGTTTTGGTTTTGTATATCTTAATGCTTTATTAGAACCCAAAAGATATTTAGATATGGTTGAAAGCAGAAAGCAAAATTATAAATAGACAAGAACATTATATAATATATGGCAATAATTAATAAAATTGTTTATTCTATGTTTTAAGCAAAACATTGAAATCTAATAGGCTACAATGATTGGGCCAATATAATAATCTAATTCTAAATCTATTCTATTTCAGCTTTGCATTTTATCCAGCTTACATGTGTAAATTAAAAGGAGAGCTGCGGATTACAATGAAGTTCAATTATTTTTCAATAGAATATTAATTAAATATTAATAAATAGTATTAACTTAAAAATGAAGAAATTAGCGGTTTATTGTGTTGCTATGCTTTACATTAGAAATTCTCAGGCAAATGGAACATTGATATAACTAGATTTGTAGCCAGCTGTGAAGCCACTGAAAATAATAAAGTTTAAAATTTGTTTGAAATCAAATTCAATTTGTTTTTTTCAATTTTTCAATTTTTCAAAAGGATTCCTTCTTCTGAAATTTTCTGATTAGTCCCGAAAATCGTAATTTAGACCGATTGACGATCTACATAAACCAAATAATTCTGTATGGCCCAACTAGTCGTCTTTATTCTGTTTGTTCCACAAAGTACTTATTCACTTTGTGCAAAGATGGCAATGCCTGATTTACAACGGTACCCTTCTCTTTGCATGAAATTACGCTTTGCAGCCCCTTTCATTTTTGATAGACTGTTTAAAATAATAACTTGAGTCTAATTGTCTTTTTATCCCACTGTATGAAAGACATACCTTTTCATTTTGATCATTGGCTCCCCTTTCACCAAATAACAAATCGACCAGTATGTATCACATACCCATGCCTAATAAAAATACGGATTTGCTGTAGTTTGTTTGACAGATAGTTCTACTCTTAAATGGAGTGTTCGTGAAAATGAAAGGGGGTATATGCTTGCGGCGATAAATAATCGCTTCTGATCGCTACTAATCTTACTTCTATCTGTTGCGTCTATGTGGAGAAAATTGTTAAAAACGTCTCATACTGAAGAATAAAGGTTCATACAAATTGAGGAAGTTGGAACATCGTGAAAAAAATCAAATTAATATCAAACAAATAATTTAGATATTAAATCCTATAGTACCTACTATTTTTCGACGCATTTGTATATAGTTGATATTTCATAGTATTTTTTATTTTGTGTTTTTTGAAATTAATATTTCGCTTACAACTTGTTTTCACGACTGGCGCATTCCCGGAAAATATGGAAAATGTCGTCTTCATTATCAAAATCCTCGAAATAGGAATGAACGTTTTTAATGTCGTCTTCATTATCAAAATCCTCGAAATAGGAATGAATGTTTTTAAAAGTCACTCTCAGACCATAAAATCATAGATCATAGATCATAGATCATATCTCAGATCATAGAATCATAATATGGATCATAGAAAGTAAAACATATTATGAAATATTAACTATATACGAAGGTGTCGAAAAATAATCGATGACTATAAGTTGTAATATCTAAATGCTTTGTTTGGAATTAAATTGATTTTGTTACGATCCGAGTCGTATGTTGCAATTTTCTGAATTTGTAAGGAATCTATGTTCTTCGGTATGAGACGTTTTTAACAATTTCCTAATTATAGACGCAACAGATAGAAGAAAGATTTGTAGCGATCAAAAGCGATTATTTATCGCCGTAAACCTATACCCCCTTTCAATTTTGGCGAGTACTCCCTTTCATGCAGGAACATCTTTGGTGGATAAGGTACAGGGTTTCTCGATTGTTATGAATAAAAAGTGTAGTATCTAATTTTAAAATCCAATATTATTATGTCTGCTAGAATTTATTGTATGTAAACGGTAATTGTCTGTAGACAGGCAGTTTTACTCTGTTTGTGTACGGTATTTTTTTTGTTTTATTAAGTACAACACTATGCAGTCAAAACTTAAACAAACCAAAATTGTAAACAAAGCAGACAGAAATCTTACTAATTACCAAATAGGTTGTCAAGTACAATAGATGGCAACAGAAAAATCGACCAACTGCGCACAACGTCATATGTGTCAAATGAAAAAAGAAAGACGACATGTCCCCTAATTAGTTGGTATGATTTCCAAGATTCGGTGGAGATAAATGTCGTCTTTGTAGGAAAACGTAAAAAATATTTACAACTCAAAATTAGATAGAGTATTTTTACTGTCGATTGGTGGCTTATTTTTTTGTCTGTATATCTATGTAAACTAAATAGTCTGAAAAAAATCATACAGACATCCATATTGCGAAATTTGAATATAATATACATGTTATCTCACAAAACACTTTGCAGATCCAAAATTTTGGCTGCAACAGATAACTTACATAAAATGTACGAAAATTTGTGAAATTTTTTATTATTTATGAACAAATGAATGTATGTAAAAAATCAAAATTTGAAAAATCTGGGAAATCAATTTATCGGCTCATGATCCATAATTAAAGAAGTGATTGTAATATAAAAAGAATGCCTGGAAATAGCTGAAATATCAAGATTTCTAATGTTACCATATTTGTGAACATTTAATCAAAATTGTTGCCTCAGTACCCAATACCCCTACTCCAAATTTTTGTTTGGGACACCATGTTTATAATATATATCTACAGAGACTTTCCAATAATTTCATAATTAAAGCACTTTAGAAAAATTTTATATATTTCTTACGTGTTCCCAAAAATAGTAAAATACGACATTTGAGAAAAAAATTAAATATCCTTAGAAGACGACATTTCATTAGAAAATTACCGTTTCTTGTTGCCTGTATTTCCCCCGGATCTGGGGGTTTTTCCACGATTAGATCGTTCCAGAGCACTTCTCCAAAGATATCATTAAACATCTCTGAAATATGTTTTAACGTTATACTTTCGAATTACAATGTTAAAGGGTTATGTACTGTATCAGTTTCAACCCCGTTATTTAGTCTATGGAACGTTAAATGAAAAAATGTAAAAACAGAAATAAAGAACATATAAAATTGCACTAATTTTACTAAAAGATTAGCACTTTAGTCTAAAAATATCACTTTTATCTATAGTTTTGTCAGACAGAAAATTTGAGTTGACACTTATGACGTTTAAACAGCTGTACTGAAAGTGTACGCATTCTGTGTTGCCGTCTATTGTACTTGACAACCTATTTGCTAATTACAGCTTTCCCAGTAAGTATTGCACTTTTAAAAAAGACGATTTCGAAATCGCAATTCAATTCCCATGTTTATTGGTACACCCTGAAAATACATACAAAACATGGGACATTTTCTTGAAGTAGAAAAGGGTAGAACCTGGCATTCCTCTCGTGATTCACAGATTTCTTGACATTTATTCTTCCCAGTTGCAAGGAAGGATGTGTAGGAATTAGGCGTAATGTCAGCGTTCATCTTCATGAAGGATACAATTCAATTCTCGTCATTTAGTTTCACCATTTAATTTGCATGACAAAATTCAATAAAAAGTTTTAAAATTATTTATTTTTTAAACTCTGAAATGGCTGTAATGTCGTCCGCCTATTTCATTGTATTTTGTATTCCTACTGTAATAGATTGAATATTATCTCTTTTTCCTGGAGGGAGTTTTCAATGTTTGAATGTAACTGACAAATCCAGCCGTCAGCACAGTCCACAGAGGGATAACTTCAAGATACAGTCATTTACAATAATGAAGTAAGTAAGTTTACAATAATGAAGTAATTTAATTTACACAATATTGAAGTAAGTAAATTTACAATATTGAAGTAAGTAAATTTACAATAATGAAGTAAGTAAGTTTACAATAATGAAGTAAGTTAATTTACAATAATGAAGTAAGTAAATTTACGATATTGAAGTAAGCAAATTTACAATATTGAAGTAAGTAAATTTATGAAGTAAGTAAATTTACAATAATGAAGTAAGTAAATTTACAATAATGATGTAAGTAAATTTACAATAATAAAGTAAGTAAATTTACAAAACATAGAACATAAAACATAAAACATAAAAAGGAAGGTATGTTATAGCCGTAAAAGCATATATTTTAATATTAGTTTAGATTTCCAAACTGGTAAACTGGGTTTACAAAAACTGTTACCTACAAGTTGTACTGTTGATTGTAAGAAATCCTCTAGTTCCTGTAGATACGAGTATAAAGGGATCCTCGAGATTTCCCTTTAAATGAGTTTTATGAAATATATTTCCCACGTAACAAAAGTTCTCCAGTTTTGGTGACTTGCTTTGAAAAATTTCCTCGGAAATTCTCTTGAATTAGTCCCCAATTTTAGAGATTTTTTGGGTACCATAGTTCCTGAGAATTTCTCTGGAATGTCCGAATATTTCTCAGGAAATTCCTGAGAAATTCTCAATCCTAATTTTATGGTTTATTGAAGAAAGACATAGCCTCGCGGAATTCCTAAAATTTTTTCTCCAAGAAATTCCTGTAAAATTATTATAGGACTTGGTCGCTAATTTTAGGGATTTTTTGAGGAACTGACAAATAGTCAAAGCATTGAAGAGATTCTCAGAATTTCTCATGAATTATCAGTCTGCAAGCATTATGTACAGATTACTTTGTTTTACTAGTTATGGATGTAAAACATTTAATCTAGAAAATTCTACTTCTTAAACTTCCCTCACAACACTTTGTGCCATTTTTAAAGGGATATGGATGAGAAGAAGGGCATTCAGTCCGAGGTCCAACTTGTCTATTCCCAACCTAGTATACAGATTTTCAATTTACATTATACACTAGTGTGCAAGGGTGTATGTTAGAGGGGGGGGGGGGGTGAAGGGGGAAGTGCCTCAAACAACACACACCACCCCCTGCCCTGCAATTTCCCCATATAAAACGCAAATACATCAGAATGATTTTACTTTTAGTATTAGGCAATTATACTAAAACAATAAAGACAACTTTCGATTAATATCAAGCTTTTAATTAGCATGGATACACATAAACATAGAAACAAATAGAAACTGTCCATTAAGAATGGTTCCCTTAAGTACAGTCTTGCAGTTTTTGAAAAGAGGAAAGGAGAAATGCCCCCCCCCCCCCCGAGGAGTATAGGAAGGGGCTCTACCCCCTTTGCAACCACTCTTGTTACTTACTTTAGCAAATACTAGAAACATCACTTTCACTGCAAAATATTGCAATAATGTACTGCTTGTTATACTCAGCAAATGGAAAAAGGAAGGTTGACTAGGGCTGGGCATGTTCCGACATTTTTTAAATTGTTCCGTTCTAGAACGTTTCCTTCTTTGTTAAAATAGTTCCATCTTAGTTTCCATTTTGTAAACCGTAAATTTTTCTGATTTACGAAACGTAAACCGTAAAATTTCCAGTTTCCATTTTGTAAACCTTAAATTTTTCCAGTTTACTTATCGTAAACCGTAAATTTTTCTGGTTTAATTAATGTAAACCGTAAAATTTCCAGTTTCCATTTTGTGAACCGGAAAATTTAACACAATGTTAGACATAGAAAGTAATGTTAAAACATTAAAAGTTAAAGCTTATTAGTTGACATACATTAAATACGCATTTAGTTCTATAAATATGTATTCACAAATATTTTACTATAGTTCATCATGACTATTTTACATGTACAGTTTTTACTTCCCCCACAATATTTTTTGACAAACTAGTTTTTATTTTTAAAGACCCCCCCCCTCTACCCTCCGTATTTGATCAGTTTAGGATGAAGTGAACCATATAAATAAGGCTTTAAATTGGTGAATTAAAGAAATAATAAATTTCAATATTTTTTCCGGCACAAATGTTTAAACCAGCATTAAACCTTCCCTTGGGCCATGTGAGTTGCCTCGCAAATTTTGGGCTTGATCGGTTCAGCTGTTTTGACGTTTATTGGATACAAACGGACAAACAAACAGACGAGTAAAGTATTTTTGTACAGTGAGAACCAGAAAACTCTGGAATAGGAGGACGACTTTTAGACTTAAAGTATGCCTTCCAATAGTTCAATGAACATGATACACGGCAATTAAGTAGTTGTATATACTTTATGTATTGTTTACAGACAAATTTAAAAGTGATGTTGTAAGTTACTATTTAACCTATTTGCTTTGTAACAACATCAAATAGACTTAAGGATTGCTTTTTCCTTTTTCCTTTCCACGGTTTTCTGTAGATGAAATCATTTTGAGGCAGTCAGGATTTATATTTCATGATAATTCACAGTATTAGTATTACATTAACGACATCTAAACCTGGCGCACATTCTATTATCATTTAGATAGTATTACTTACTGGTTTTATCTTTTTACATCTTTTATCTTTTCCGGAACCTTTTCCCGAAAATTTCCGGAACGATTGTTCCGTAAACCGGAATTTTCCAGAACAACGTTCCAGAAATTTCCGGTTTAGTGGAAAAAAATCGTTCCGGAATTCCGGATTTCCGGAACCTTTTCCAAAATGGAAATGGAAAAAATTCCGGATCATTTCCGTACATAAACCGTAATCCGGAATAGGGGTACATCTGTCTCATAATGGTGCAAATACAGCAAGTTATAAACTTTCTTTCAAAAGCAGCGCCATATATGAGGTGCACAGGGAGGCAAGAAAAAGAAAACTGCGGACGCAAAGATGGAGAAAGGAGAAAACGATTAACATATGAAATTATTTACTATGCCTGGTACCAATTTATTTTACAAGAATTATAAAAAATAAATTATTAAAACATTGGAATTTTTTTTAAAAATGGCAGGGACAGATTAATAAAATAGGCAACAGGTTGTATTGGAGAAAGGGGGGGGGGAGAAGTGGAACTGGAGGGAGGTTTTTATTATTTCTAGATGATTCAGAACATGTTCCTAATTTAAAATGCGTTCCCGACTTAGAAAGCATTCCTCATTTTAACATACTTTTCAAGCAATTTCTGTTCATTCGACGTTTGTTTATTTAACAATTATCATTCCAATATTTTTAAGAACTTGTTCTATGTGTTTTTCTTTTTTTCAAAATGATCGGATTGGTCTAGATAATTCTGTTCACTCTCATGAAAGAATGATTGTTCCCCAGGAACAATACCCAGCCCTAAGGTTGACACAAGGGTAAATGGTTGTTTATGAAGGTTAGACACTTTGGATACGCTAGACATGTCGACTCCAAAACAATAAACTTGCTTATAAATAATAAAAAAAAAAAACATAGTTCGACTTCATTGCTATTTGCTAGATGTTGTTTATTGTAAATTGTACATGCTAAAAGTAACCCTCAAAGGGATAGTTACCCTTATAGTATCTACCTCTAACCACAACTGAGCCTAAAAAATTAAAGATGTTCAGAATTCTCAAATCATTAATATAAAAACTGCAGCCAATATTGTGGGTTTTTTCATACATCAGACAATGGATAAACAGAGTTACATTAATTGTTCCTGGATTTGGAGAACTAGGAGTGTTCTTTTCCACATAAGCCATCTCACATACACCTCCATCCCTTCAGCAATTTGTTGCATCAAAAATGTTTAACTTTTTTAAAAAAAAACATTCAATTACTAGATACACTCTTTTACCATAATATTAAGTAGAATATACAATTTTTATACTTCCTTACCATTATCTATAAACAAAATGTTCTGAACTTTTAGAATGGAAAAACTATTAAAATTGATAGAGCAATACACTTTTAATACTATTTACCCTAGCAGAAAATATTGTTCTTAATTTAAAATCTTAGTTGGATGAATTTAAAACTTCATTACTAAAGATTGGCTAAGGTCATGATTTTAATAAGCAATTATTGCCTATGATTTTTTTCATTTTGACACTGAATATATTTAATAAGGATCTGTATCCAGGTCATAAACCTTTCTTACAAAGGAATTGAGTCTTTGCCACGAACTGTGCTTTTCTAATCCTTATATCTTTGCAACCCAATGTTATAGACCTTAGATGTCTCAAACTATGACTTCTGTCTGCTAGGTCGAAGAGCCTAAGTTTAAAATATTAAAGGTTTACACTATTAGGTTGCACAGATATAGGGATTTGAGTTTGTGGCAAAGACTTAATTAATTTTGTAACATATTTTTAAACTAATGAAGATGTTTAAATTTTTATTTTATAACTTTATCCTCAAACTTGATGGACCGGCCATAGATTAGGAAGTCTTAGAGTTTTTTTTAAAAGAAAATATTTTTTTAAGCAAGTTTTAGTTAATTCCAGAACTGTATAGCGCAATTTCGCGCAACAGAATTGAGATTGAAAACCCTAAAGACTACACACGAGGTTCCAAAGATATAGAGATGATAAAGATAAGACCCTGTTATTTTAAATTAATACTTGAATATGAAGGCAGTATAGGGTGATCCGGTTCTGAGGGCAGCTGCGCCCTACATAAATATACATATTAGCTGTTCAAGAGCTGAGAACTCTTGGTCTTGATGATTCGTTAAATTTGTAAATAAATTTAATCATTATTCGATATCTCGCATGCTAATTTTACCCTCAAGGAATAACTGAAATAAGGAGATTAAGCATTGATCCTTAAAATAAAAGTGTCCACTTTGGATATCAAGATCAAGCGATCAGAATTATGAGTATCAAGCTTAAAAGTGTTCATTAAAAAAATGAACACAATATTTTTGTGTAAGATGGTTATGAGGCCTTCAAAGAACCACCCTTTCTTCCAATAACAAAAAAGCAGGTTAAGTTCTCAACAATTTTTCCAATCATATCTGTATATGTTTATGGATATGGATATGTATATGTATATGTATATGTATATGGATATATATATGGATATAATTTAAAAGGTGTCTAAAAGTGATAATTTTGGTGAAAGGGGAAATATATACCCCGTTTCCTCGTAAGGACAGGGAAGGAAGATGAAGGAGTTAGTCGTGTACGAACTTGCATGAGAGGAGGTGGAGCTGATCGTTTTGACCAGGATGTGCAGCTGTATATAAGTTTTAACCGTTTGATATCCATTTCTTTCCTTTTATTCAATAAAGTATCTCGTTTCGTGTTATCGCGTTATATTCATTAGTTTTGTGAATAAGATTGGTAAAATGCAATTTAGATATACATTGTTCTCAATTTATCTTTTACAATGAGTTGCTGTTTTAATAGACATAAAAATCAATTTACCTCAACATTAGATCTAAACTTTCGTGAGCTTGTGATGGCATTCGTGTTCCAGAACGATAAACTAACATTTCTAGCTTGGAAGGTGTAGGAAGCCTTCTCCCCCATACACTGACACGGTAAGTTTAAGTTTACTCCTGTAGTTAATGTCATTCTGTTCAGGTTTACATGTTCAGAATTAGATGTAATTACAATTACACGTTCAGAAATTTACATTTTCAGTTTAGGGTCGGAGCTGGATTGTAATAATTCAGCTGTTCATTTTTTTGTGATTCATGCCATTTTTTTTTATTTTGAATCTGTGTTTTGTTTTTAATTGTTCATTATTCTTATGGATTGGTATGCATTAAAAGTAAAAATTCATGAACTAAACAAAAGAGGAGTATTTTTATTTAAGACTAGCAAAGTTCTGATAACATTTTAAATATGATGAAAACAGTTGCTTCAATTTAGATTATCCCAAGAAAGTGGAACCGTTAGTGTCAATTGTTACAAATGTGGCCAAATCTGAAGGTAAGGTTCGAAATGTAGAGACGATTTAGAACTTTTGTCCCCTGAATTGTCAAGATAGGGCTTTTCTGTATTACCAATATACGTCTTAGGGTTTGGTAGGGGGGGGGGGGGCTAAAGTTTCAAACTTAGTAAAGAAGAAAGCTATAGTTTTAGAAATTTTGCATAACAAAAAAATTTGTTTAATATACATAACTGCAGACCTAAAGGTTTGTTCAGAGTTAGAAATTTTAATCAGGCAAATAAATATATCAAACTTTTGCCTGCGAAATGAAGAAAAGGCCGAAATGAATTCTCATTTTTTCTTGTGATATATATTGATCCTAAAAAATAACCTGAGCTGAAAACTTTAGAATGAGATATCATTAGTCCCGATTACTTAATCTGAGTACGGACACACTTTTGATTTTCTTCTTAAACCGTTCTTTCTTGGATATAGTAGAGAAAAATCATTAACAGGTTTCTTTTAATTTAGAGAGTCCCTCCCGTTTCTTGGATTTATATATGCGACTCTGATTGGTTGAATTTATACATTTTTCAGGATACAATCTCCGCACGGAAAAATAGTTCTGTTTTTACTTAATTTTGGTTTATTTAAAGGGAGTGGCCGGCTATTTAAGATAGTTGAACTGTGTAAGCAGTTTTGTGGAAAACTTCTTTCGGATTCATTTGAGACACATTAAACTATTTAAAGATCTGCAATCATGAGATTGAGCGCAAAACTCCTACTTTGGGGGTGGATACGTTTTCAGAATTTTTTTTTTCTTAATTATTAAATAACGACAACGAAAAATAAAGTAAAACTTATACAGTCTAATTAGAAGGTTAGGAACATATTTCTCAAAAGAAATATGTCAATAAATCAATGCTAGAATCGATTATTTCGTTTTTATTATTATATTGAATTTCTTATCTTCTTTGAATTTATTCGCAGATTTCTTCAAATTCTTCAAATATTGTCTTTTTAATAATAATTCTAGAAAATCTTCGAAAATCTTTAAAATTTGTGAAAATAGAAACTAATAATTGAACAAGATTACTTATTTTCGATGATAAGATTAATTTTTGTCTGTAGTTTATTGTAGAACTTTTTTACATGTTATGTCGTCGTTATTTAATAATTAAAAAAAAACTAATTAAAAAGTTTTATATGTCTCAAATGAATCCGAAAGAAGTTTTCCACAACACTGCATACTTAGTTCAACTACCTTACATACCTTTAAAGATTTCTCTCTGCTGGAAATTATCTCAAAATTGAATTTTTAAGCACATTTTGTATTGTACATTGTAAATTGTATATTGTATATTGTATATTGTACATTGTAAATTGTATATTGTATATTGTATATTGTATATTGTATATTGTATATTGTATATTGTATATTGTATATTGTATATTGTATATTGTATATTGTATATTATGTATTGTATATTGAAAAATAGATTAAAATTTCATTAATGTCTGAAATCAAGTGTATTTAAATATCTATATATAAATTTGGCTTGTCTGTCTGTCTGTCTGTTTGTCTGTTTGTTTGTTTGTATCCAATAAACGTCAAAACGGCTGAACCGATCGGGCCCAAATTTTTTGTGGGACATCACGTGACCACAGGGAAGGTTTATGAATGATCAAAATTTCAAATATTTGTCTCCATCAAAATTCGATCTTCATTAAATTTTTGAAAATTTTGAAAATCCACGAAATTTTTTGTGAAAATCCGCGAATTATTTTTGTTTTGTTTTACGATGTACACAAAGAGAACATGTTCACAATTAATTTAGAAGATGGGCGCGAAGCGCCCTATAAGGCTAGTGTTTAAAAAATAGATAGATTACTTTAGAATTATCTAAAAAATACATTAAAAATGAGTTTCGGAAAAAAAGATGTAGGACGAAAGTTGATTTTAAAATTAAAATGCAAGGTGACTGTTGAGTATTGAGTGGTGGTTTACAGAATGAGAGTTTGCTTTACTGAGAGTTACATGAAACTAATAACAACGTGAAAGCATAATATATAATAATTTTAACTCATATTATATGATATATATAATAATTAGAAAAAATATGTTAACTAAAATAAAAAAATTTTTAAGAAACGTTTAGAATAAATCAAATTCTGGATCCATTAAAAAAATAATATTTATATATTTTGAGTACACAAGCCAGGTTTATTTAGAAAATGGCCATGCTTACTTTTAATTTGAATATAGAGTTTTATTAATTCATGACAAGCTGTCTCATATTTTGCAGAAACCATGCATTTGTACTTTAAATACAGAGAGGTTGGTATATTTTACGAATCCCAATTTACTTTTCATGTCCAGGGCAAATAGATTGTTAAGTACAAGAGATGGCAACCTATTATTTGTACACTCTCGGTACAGCTGTATTCTTACATCACAAGTGTCAACTCAGATTGTGTCCGACAAAATTATTAATTATAGAGATAATTTTAGAATAAAGGGCTTATCTTACAGTAAAATAAGTGCGTTATTATGCGTTATTTATTTTCTGTTTTTACAGATTTTTATTTAATCTTGAAATCATGTCAAATAATGTGAGAAAATTTCGATTTTTTTGTTATATTTGACACTTGTGACGTAGTGTTAATCCATTTCTCCACCTATTGTACTTGATAATCTATTTGGTCCAGGGTATTTCTAAAATTTGACAGAGGGAGGGGTGGTATCTTATCTTATCTTGATGTTTTCTTGTATATATATAGTGCACGCTATGCAGAAGACCCTAAATTAGACATAATAATGTTACTATTGAGTATAAAACGCATTTTAATGGCACCAATTTATTCAAGATTTTTTTTCTGAACAAAAAAAGCCACCACAGTGCACCTGTCCCATACTTGAACACGTGATTAATTTCCTAAATAGAAGATGCTGCTAAAGGGTGCACTGTGTATAAGTCAGTCAATTCTTTTCATGTGTGCGCGGAGCGCCAAAGAAATTTTGTTAAGTACCTTGTTTAATTACAGATATAATTACAAGAAATAATCATTTATATATTTTGAAAAAATGCATCAAAAAACATATATAATTTTAATCACCTACATTGAAAAAGGACAGATAGTGTTACGTTTTCTCCTGAAGTTATTGAATATATGATTAATCATTCTATTTCTAACCAACATTCATAATCTTATTTCATTTTCGATTTTATAGAAGTTCATTTAAAGAAGATAAACGGGTTATCAAATATGATAATCAGATAGAAATTTGTCAGAATGTTCTCTAGATTTGGAACTGAGTTCTTGCCACAAACTCAAATATTCTAATCCCTAAATCTTTGCACCGAGTGGTGTAAACCTTTGATATTTCAAACTTATTTTACCAAAACAATTCAAAGTTTGAAGTATCTGCACATTTCAATTATTTTCGTGCAAATTTTAAAGATATTTAATTTTAAAATCAACCTTTTTTTAAAAACAAATTCTAGGGCCCTCAGGATTCTAGGGGGGTATTTACCCCAGGATTCTAGGGGGGGGGGTAATCACCCCCAGGATTCCAGGGGGGGGGTAAATAACCCCCCTTATTTACGCCAGTGATAAGCAGGCTAAATCTATGTGGGTGCAGTGCATCTAAAAAAGTTTGAACACTTTAAGAGCTTGTTTCCAATAATTTCTGATTTTTTTATTTTTTATTTATGGGTTTCATAATTTGCAGCTGTTGCAACTGATTTATCTCTTCAAATGTTTATTGTACGTTTTTAGAAAATTTACTTAAAAATTTTAAAATCTTTCGGAACATTTCATATTCAAATGAAAAAGACTAAAGTTTTACGGTTTTCTGGTTCTCCTTGTATTCTTTTATACCCCCCCCCCCCCCCCCCATCTCGTGCAGTTAATCTAATATTGCATTGATTAAAATACGAACTTAGCCTGAAATTTTGTGCAAAATGTTTGGTTTTAATAAAAAATTAATCAGGGAAAATCCATAAATGCTAAAACATGAAAAAAGTATTCTGGAAACTAAAATAATTAAAGATTGTAAAATTAAAAAACATATTTTTAATAAACAAAGACTAATATTGTATTTATAAAACTTTAAACATAGCTTCTATCAGAAATTAAAGAAATTATTTTATTTCGTCCGATAACGACTTAATAAATTAACGGTCGTTTTACATAATAACTGGATGAAGTTAAAAAAAATTGCACAAAAGACAAATAAACTCAACCAAAAAACCAAAACAACGAAGTTATTATTTTATTAAACTTTTTTAAAAGAGATTTTTTGTCCCCCGGACGTGATCGGGTTGTTACGATCAAATCTCGAAATTTTTTCTATTGCGAAGATTTGTTGTTGTATGGGTTTTAATCGATCTACCAGGGGTTGTAATCTGGCAGCACATTAATCCATCATCACTCACTTGGATCAATCCACTTAGAGCTTATTTCTTGTTGACTAGAAAGAACGCACCCTTTCGCTGCGAGAGATGTTGACAGCCACCCATCTGAGTCTGTCCTCCTACATCCGTGACCGTAGGTGGTCATAACTGTTTACCAGACGTTGGCTTCAGATGTTTTTTGTAACACCAGGATTGTGTGGAGTACGGGAATAGAACCCGTGAACACAAGTCTGGACACCAATCCAGTTACTGGCTGTGGACAAGTGTGCTTATCTTCATGTGCTCTAACGAGAGTTGGTGTCACACACTAGCCACCCTAGCCAACAATTTTCTAAAATTGCCAATTGTTATTCTTTAACAAAATTTACTTTAGGCAAAAAGATTAATAGTCATGGCATTAATTGTATTTAGTTTTTCTTCTCTTTTTATTGTTGACAATTATATTTATATTTACATATATTGATTCAGGTGTACAACAGAATACTTTTATAAAAGTGGAGACAGAAAATCAGTATTCAATGATACACCCTGATACCAAGGAAACAATTTTATTAGCCATTGAGGTAAATTAAATAAGAATTATTTTTGATTTTTAATATTTGATAAATCACATATAGGGTATCAGAAAAGTTTGTAAGTGCTAGGAGGAATATGTACATAAAGCGTTTTTTAATGTTTACTTAGCACCGAGCACATGTACAAAAATCATTATTTTACTTTAAGACTTGATAGTAGTAATCTACAAGTTTCAAATCTTTAAGATTAAGTATTAAAATTATTGATTTAATTTTTTTTTGGTTTTGTTTTACTTTGCTTCAATCACATTTGTTCATATTTTATTTCTGTTAAATTTATTTTGTACGAGGAATCATTTGATTTATGTTTCTTCAGTTGGAACCTGGACCCTTTCAGCTCTTCCACTTCTTCGCCTTATTAATAATAATAATAATAATAAAATAATAATAATAATAATAATAATAATAATAATAATAATAATAATAATAATAATAATAATAATAATAATAATAATAATAATAATAATAATAATAATAATAATAATAATAATAATAATAATAATAATAATAATAATAATAATAATAATAATAATAATAATAATAATAATAATAATAATAATAATAATAATAATAATAATAATAATAATAATAATAATAATAATAATAATAATAATAATAATAATAATAATAATAATAATAATAATAATAATAATAATAATAATAATAATAATAATAATAATAATAATAATAATAATAATAATAATAATAATAATAATAATAATAATAATAATAATAATAATAATAATAATAATAATAATAATAATAANGGTGGGATGGAACCAAGGTGGGGAAGGGTGGGATGGAACCAAAGTGAGGAAGGATGGGATGGAACCAAAGTGAGGAATGATGGGATGGAACCAAGGTGGGGAAGGATGGGATGGAATCTAAGTGAGGAAGGGTGGGATGGAATCACAGGGAGGAAGGGTGGGATGGGAAAGTTTTATTTGTACAAATTCCAGTGGGACAAAGGAATAAGAAGAAGAAAGACATTGTATGAAGGTCGGATTTGTAATATCACTATATAGACGTTGAGCGTAATGTCATTTGATCCTCCACACGTGGATTTACCAGTTCTGTCATTATTTTCGAAAACAAAGATGTAAATGCCTGATTCACAATGGTACCCTTAAACACTTTCATATTTTAAAAGTTTTCAAGGAAGAAAACCGACAATATCTTCCACATTGTTATTGATAAGATAATTGTTTCTAAGGGTATATGTGTTAATATGAAATTGCCATCTTTGCAAACAACGATAACAGACCTTTTTATTTATATTGTTAGAACGTTAGTGTTATAGAGACTGTCAATATTATGCTAAGTGACCCCCAAAATGAAAGAGTTGCATTCAACATTCACAACGGTACTATTTACACGTTAATCTGTAAGTTTGATCCTTTTCATCTGCACTTTGTATTTAGAACTCCACAATACCTAAACGATGGTTTAAAGGGTACTGGTGTGAATCAGACCCCTTTGTTGAGATAAGAATACAGTTCCTTTAACCGCTTACCAGTTCCACTTTTCTTATTTTCATCCTTACAATATGTTCTCCTTCCATCTTAACCTCCTTATACCTTCTCCGACCACTGCTCAATCTAAAGCAATCAATCAATCAATCATCCATTCTATCATTTATTCAATCAATCAACCATTAAATCATTTATTCAATAAATCATCCTATCAATCAATCAATCAATACAAAATTCAATCATTCATTTTACTAATTTTGAACACATTCATGAACTGATTTGAAATTCTTAAAAGACAAAATAACAAATACACTTATCCTAAAATAAAATAAAGATTGTAGATAAGAAACAGATTTTGAAATAGGAATAAAGATTCTTTCAGAGCTCTTAAAAGTAAAAAAAAACTTAAAATGTTTAAAAACGATGCGGACATCTGTACAGCTCTAAGAACACCTACCTGTAGCAACAAGTTCCATGCCGAAGAGCATGCTTGACATTAAGGCTACCTCCTTTCAGCTGATGCACTCCCTTCTCGTCCTGCTGCAGGGTTGTCATATTCAGGGTGTACACCTCCCCCTCCTAGATCAGGGCTGGATTAAACGTTGTCTGTTGGCAGTGGTCTTCAGAATAAATTGGAAAATTAAATCTTATACTGTGAGACTCAAATAGATTGTCAAGTACAATAGATTGCAACGTAGAATTTGTACACTCTCAGTACAGCTGTATTCTGACGTCTTAAGTGTCAACTCAGTTGTCGTGTCCAACAAAATTATTAATAATAGTGATAAATTTAGACTAAGTGCTTATCTTACAGTGAAATAAGTGCAATTCTATTTGTTCTTTATTTACTGTTTGTACACTTTTATATTTAATCTTGGAAAACATGTCAACAAATGGGAGAAAATCTTGCTTTCCTTGTTAATTTGACACTTGTGACGTTGTGTATAATTGGTCCATTTCTCTATTGCTACCTTTTGTACTTGATAATCTATCTGGTGAAACTCAAAAAATTGTGGAACAAGACGATATTTGAGCAATCATACGAGTGTTGAATGCAACTTGAAAATTAATTTTTTAGGTGAATCTATACAGTTGCTGTTCCTCCTTATTTCATAGTTTCAAGGGTCTAATTCTGTATGTGTTAATCATAGTTCTATGCAACTTTCAGACTGGGGTGAACCCTACCTCATGTTGTACCGGCACGGATCATGCAACTTTCAGACTGGGGTGAACCCTACCTCATGTTGTACCGGCACAGATCATGCAACTTTCAGACTGGGGTGAACCCTACCTCATGTTGTACCAGCACGGATCATGTAACTTTCAGACTGGGGTGAACCCTACCTCATGTTGTACTGGCACGGATCATGCAACTTTCAGACTGGGGTGAACCCTACCTCTGAATGCATGAGAAGAGAACCCTCACAACCTGTCTGCACACCAGAACCCTGAAGCACTGAACCCTAAATATAAAAATAATTGTGATTCATATATATATATAAATATATATATATATATATACCCAGTGTCCACCCCGGACTAACCACAGTGAGCAGTGTTTGGTTTCTTCTATTTGAAATCAAACGTGTTTTGGTCTATAATTCAACAATCTTTTACTTTACGGATTTGTTTATGCTATACATTTTCATTCAAAATGCATATGCTGACAAAAAAGTATAACAGAAAAAAGGCTTACAAATTATGTTTAATAGGTCAAATTGTGATCTAAAGTCACAGCTTTCTGGAATATTTACAGAACCGACGTGTGTCAGTTACTGAAATGATGAAATAATACAATAATAATACACCACGTATTGACCACTATTTACTGTAGCTATTTCAATACTGGAGACTGTAACGACATGTAGTGATGTATGTCATTCTCATGGTGACCATGGTAGGTCATTTTATAAAATTCTTGAGCATTTGTCTCATCCATAAACATCCCCCCTCCTCTTTAGTTTTTTTGCCCTGGCACTCCCATTTTGGACACTCTCATTTATCTACTTTTAATTTTTTAACTTTTATGGAATAGTAATTTGAAGAATCTTTTGCAACCGCTAATTGTAAAAGTTAGCGGTGTAAAGGTTGGAAACTAGATCTACTCAAGAGAGAGAACACTGGATGTCTGAATATATATTTGTGTACAATGTGTATAGTAAAGTACAAAGAGGGAGTTGACAGGAACTGGTCAACTTCCACGTAAACATAAACAGGGATAAATATGATAAATATATATGAATAAACTGGTCCTCCACAGCGGTTTAATTTTTTTTTGATAAGCTGGCCTTGAATAATTAGACTTTGTACATGCAATGCAACCCTGTGCCTTGCTTTAGGGAGGTTGGATGTAAATATATTTAGACCCCCTGCCTTTATAGGGTTTAAACAATGCGCTTATCTCTACATATAACTAGATATGCTACAACCTACTTAAATATAAAAAAGTCAATATTAATCTATTAAATTTTATTTATTTTCTGATTTCCATTTACTTCAATTTAAATCGAGCTTAGAACTAATTTAACGAACTAGCTAAAAAATATCGTTTATAAAAAGCTTGGTTTTGATATCCAATGTAGGGAACTTTAAAGTTTTAATGATTTGAAAATAAATTGAATTAATCCTTTTGCATAAGATGAAGATAAAAGTTTGATCCTGAGATTAAAAACAAAAAAGTTCTGAACATAAACTTTAATTCATGAAAAATGACAAGTTGTATCATAAAATGTGAAAATAATGTTCTCATTATAAAATTGGTCCAATGTTTAAGAACTGGAATAAATAATTTTTTACCCTAAATTTTCCCGCTTTTTAGCACATGTTTCAGAAAAGGAAATGTTTTCAAATTGTTTATATTTAAATAATGTTGTTGGCACGAAGATAAGAAATATAAGTAAGTAAAATTCATATTTATGTTAAAGGAACTGTAGACGTATTTATGTTAAAGGAACTGTAGACTATTTATGTTAAAGGAACTGTAGACGTATTTATGTTAAAGGAACTGTAGACGTATTTATGTCAAAGGAACTGTAGACGTATTTATGTTAAAGGAACTGTAGACGTATTTATGTTACAGGAACTGTAGACGTATTTATGTTAAAGGAACTGTAGACGTATTTATGTTAAAGGAACTGTAGACGTATTTATGTTAAAGGAACTGTAGACGTATTTATGTTAAAGGAACTGTAGACGTATTTATGTTAAAGGAACTGTAGACGTATTTATGTTAAAGGAACTGTAGATGTAAATACAATGGACCCACTGGCCGTTTCATAGTGCCATGTCCAATTCACAATGGTACGCTTTAACCCTTTGGCTAATCATGGATGCTTTTGATTTCCTTATATCTATGGTTAAACTTAAGAACTGAGAAATGCAAGGTACACTGTAAAGTGTACAGTGTACAGTGTACACTGTAAAGTGTACATGTAAAAAAGGTAACAAGCTTCCATGAGTGTATTGCAAGCATCATACAGAAATGTTTTTTTTGACGTAAAACAAGACAAATTTAATTATTTTCATCTAATGATAAAAAAGAGTTTTTAACCCAAAGGGAACGAGTTTTTGCCACAAACTCAAATATTCTTATCCCTATATCTTTGCAACCCATGGTCATAGACCTTAGATATTTCAAGCTATTAATTATTTTAGATCGAATAATCTAAGTTTGAAATATCAAAGGTTTACACAATGCGGTTGCAGAGATATCGAAATTAGAAAATTTGAGTTTGTGGCAAAAACTCAAATCCTTTTTTTTAAGTTTAAACTTCTGACCAAGAAAATTGTAAGAAAAACTATATAACCTCTCATTGCTTCTCTAGCATTGTTTTGTTTGTTTGTTATTATCCAATAATCATATTGGGCCCAAAACTATAGATGATCCCGTTCATGGTTTAGTTGGGGGTAAGAATCTTGTAAAGGAATTGAGTCTCGCCACAAATTATCAAACTTGCAATTTGCAATTTGCAATTTGCAATTTGCAAACTGATGATGCCAACCTTTGATATTTCAAATTCAAACTTAATTTATTGAATCCATCAGAATTCATAATTAAAGCAATGTTTAGAAATTAGTAAATCGGAGTTTGTGGCAAAGACTCAATTCTTTTTCCAGCCAAAAATATAAAAAAGATTTTGGAAAATCAAGCATCTTAATATTTGAAAAATTGTAGAATAAAAATGGATAAGTTTTTCTTACCCTGACAAGCCCAAGTGCCAAGAATCCAACTAACAGATTTAAGAAAAACATTTTTCACTTTCAGTGCACAATTTTAACACTCAGTCTGAAACCAAATGTTAAACATGTTTTAAGGTGTTTGCAAAAATTTGATTTAAATTGTAACCGAGCCAATATCAAAGTTTGCATGTGCTTCAAGCCTTCAAACCAGATTCACATGCATTTCCTTAAAACTTCCTTTTCAAAATGTACAACTAAATTTTATTATTAAGCGAATTTAGGTGAATTTTGAGGATACTTCATCTATAGATGTTACTTCAAGTATTAATTTCTTCATTGATTCTGCAGCATAATTCCGCAAGTCTCATTTATTATTTATTATTTTCTCGATCGATTGTTATTGCCATGATTTATAGAGATTATTTATCAGAGGTTTCGAGGGTTAAACCATTTTTAAATGGAGGGTCACTTGAAATTGCGTCTATTGTGTCTACACTAGAGATACACTATGGTTTAAGGAGCGGTTTACTTTAACAGGATTAATATTATTGAGAAAAAGAGAAGTTTGTTTATTATTTTAATAATAACGTTTGTTGATTTCTGTCTTTTGAGTCATTTGTATTCCAAGTTCGTCTATTTTATTTGTATGTTATCACTTCTTTATTCGTACATTGTTAGCATAGCTGGATCAGAACTAATACATGAGAGAATTAGTTGAACTACTTATATACTAAGTTGAACCACTTTTCTCCATCAAGAAAACAGCATGTGTTTACGCTATTCATAAAATATGACTCCTTGTAATTTTCGAACTTAAAATTTTTAAAGAATTAAGAATATTATATTTTTAAATCAGATTTGAATAATTACTGCGCTGTCTCTTATTTGTACTTTTCACGAAGTCCCGGATCACATGTTTCCATCATTACTGCTAATATAACACTGAGTACAGAAAAGTAAAAACTTTAAATGCGTCCATACACCAACATGTGTGGTGTAATAAGAATTAGTCTCCCTCCAGATATCCAAGCCGGGGTTCCCGGGCAGTCCAAGCCGGGGTTTCAAAGCAGTCCAGGCAGGGGTTCCCAGGCAGTCCATGCCAACCAGGATTCTCAGGCACTAGTAGCTGGTCCATTTCCTTGATGGCATGGGTTGACGTGCAAACATCAGGCGTGCGAGGTAGTATGATATAAGCATGAGTAATGGGGGATAAATTTTGTAGATTTAGATTAAATAATCTGGAGCTGAATTGGATCCTATTCAGTAATAAACAGTTCCAAATGATTTTTTTTATCATTTTTAGAGATATTTTATATTTTTATATTAACATTTTCTTTAAACTTTTTTACAAACAAATTTCAACATTTTTTTTAAGATTTATTACAATATTATTTTTTGAATTTTTTCAACTTTTCTTAACAGTATTCAAAAACAATTTTTTTCATTCTTTTTTTCCAGTTTTTACAAAAAATATTTCTTTATATTTTCAACTTTTTTCAAAAAAATTTTTCTTCATTTTTTATCTTTTTTTAACATAGTTCACATAATGTTTTATTTTTATTTTTCATCTTTTTTAACAATTTTCAAATAGAATACATTTTCTCTATATTTCTCTATATATCTATCTTTAAAACTATCTATCTATCTAACTATCTATCTATTTATTATTATATGAAAAAAAATTTTGTGAAAAATGCTCTCATTTTAAAAAGTTTTAAAAATGTTTTTTAAAAAAAAAAATTTTTGTGAAAAATGTTAAAAATTGTTCCAAACAATTTTTGAAAAGATCAAAATAGATTGTTTTAATCTAAAATTTATATTGGAACTTGTATGTTCTTTAGTTTTAGACGCAGCTTAAATATTTGAGATTTCACTGTTTCTTACAGAAAACATGAGAAGAAGTTAGTTTTGTGAATCTTGGAATCGCGCATTGATCTGCATCGATCTTAAAACCTTCATATTGATTTATAGGGACTGTTAAGGAAAAATGAAAGGATAGCATATAATATATTTTAAAGCTATTTGGTGAACTATAATACATTATAAACATACTCAATTGCTGTTAACAAATGCATATTTTAGATTCACATGAGGAACCATCAAATTGGCTTGAAAACCAGAAACCCAGGGTGAAAACCATAAGAAAGTGTAAAGGAATTGAGTCTTTGTCACAAACTCAATTCAATTTCAATTCCCAATATTTCTGGAACCCAATGTCGTAGACATTAGATATTTCAAACTATGAACCCTGTTAGATTTAATATTCAAAGTTTGAAATATCAAACGTTTACATTATACGGATACAAAAACTTATGTTTGTGGCAAAGACTCAATTCCTTTGTTACTGGAACTAAACCTTGCAAGAACAAGACCAAAAAGAGCTTCTCAAATTGGGTAGCATCTGACTCTGCAGAATCACTAAAAACTGCTACCACAACTGAGGAAAAGAATGGAGCAGAACTGTCTGAAAATGGAATGAAAGAGGAGTATGAGACCAGTTGGAGATGATTATTTTGACTTAGGAGGACTTCTTGGGGTAACCTTAACTAAATTATCTAATTAATATTATTTAATAAGAATACTTCAATTTATTATTTATAGTTACTTCCTCAAGCACTGGTGCTGGGCGGGGAAATCCCCAGAGGTTTATTTTTGTGGACTTAAACTTTCAATAAATTCAGCATCTCATAAATAGCTTGTACTAAACGTAAAGGGAGTTTTCGCAAAAAAATAAAGGGTGTAAAGGCTTAAGGTGTAAAATAAGAGCTTTTGATCGCTACTAATCTAACTTCTTACTGTTATGTCTAAAAGGAAAAAATTGTTAAAAACGACTCATACCGAAACATAGCGTTCATACAAATTCGGAAAGTTGCAACATTCAACTCGGATGGTAAAATAATCAATTTAAATCAAATCTATTCATTCAGATATTACAAACAATTGTCATTGATTATTTTCGACTCATTCATATGAAGTTAATATTTCATAATAGTTTTGATTTTGTTTTTTTAAAGTAATATTTCGCTAGGGCTGGGTTTCAAACATTCTCGGAAAAAATGAAAATGTCGTCTTCATTATCAAAAATCCTCGAAACAGGAGTAAAAGTTTTCATAAAATATCAACTATATAAGGATGTGTTGAAAAATTATTGTTATATCTAAATGATTTGTTTGGAATTAAATTGATTATTTTGCGATCAGAGTTAAATGTTGCAACTTTCCAAATTTTTATGGACGCTACGTTTTTTGGTATAAGTCGTTTTTATTAATTTTCTCCTTATAGACGTAACCGATAAAAGTAAGATTAATAGCGATCAAAAGCGCTTATTTATCGCCATAAGCCTATACCCCCTTTCTTTTTTAGCAAACACTCCCTTTAAATAAAAAAGATATTTGATTTTATTCCAGCTTTAAGCTACGAAATAGATATATAAAAGTCTGCATAATGACTAACTTTAACATTTAAAAAAGAATGAATTTTCCAAGATGAGCATGATAATCTCATTAATTTTAGAACAGACAATGCTGTAAAGGATACTAATATTCCAGAAAGTCAGGCAGTGCAATTCTCAAGCTTAGGAAATGAGTCTTAGCGCAAACCTTAATTTTAAAATCTCTATCAAGGGCCTACAAATGGGAGACCTACAGCCCCCCCCCCCTAAGCTTGTGCCCCCGGGGGGGGGGGCAGGGCATCCATGTAAAAAATTCTTTTAGATCTCACATTTTGCCCTTAACTAAAAAGTTTCATTAAAAAAGCTTTGATCAATACTGCCTTCAGTGTAAATATATCTTTGATATGATTATTTAAGATTATACACAATCACAATTCTATAATCCAATTATAGTTGGTTTTAATTATAATTAACAATACTGCCAAACTCATGAATAAGTCTAAAGTTCTAATATTATTATTAATAATATTTCAAACTATGATTTCTGTTAGATCAAATATCATAGGTTTGATTGAAATATCAAGATTCACACTACGCCTGAGCAAGTGAGTATGGAAAAGTGTGGGGAAATAATTAGATATTTAACATTTTCACTCAACGACATTAGTTCCATACATTTTTTTAAATTCTAGTGTGGCTAGGGCACAAATTCAAGCCAGGGCACAATCAAACTTTTTTCAGTACATTTCTTAGTTGTTAGAAAAATTAACAGTACATTAAGACTCAATGACAAGTCAATAGTTCTTAACTAATATTTAAAAAACATTCATTTGCTCTTTTGAAAGCACTGTAAAACCTTAACATAGTAATATGTATATTTTACTCAAACTAAAAGTTAAAATAACTATTTCTGTAAGAACTAGTTACAGAACTATTGTATAGTTCTCCAATAGAATCAATCTGGCTGGAAGACGAGATACTAGAGCTCTTAGATCCAAGTTCTGTTCTATTCAAATTAGTTGAAAAAGAATCAGTCTGGCTAAGAAAAGCAGCAGAAAGAAGACCTAGTAGACCAAACAGATTAAGATAGCTTGTTCTATCTAATTTATTAAATGTAGAGGATGTATTTCTATTTCTCTCTTCGGATACTTCCTCTTGCCCATCTTTCCTCTCAATTTCTAGTAACCCTGCTTCATCCATCTTTGTCCAAGTAGCTGAAGGAGTTTGTACTGTAGCTGTATGAACAGATTGGATACTACTTAGCATTCTCTGATTAGAAATTCTCAGATTTGATCTTCCAGTCCTACTTTTGTTCTTGTATGGATTTGTTGTTACACATTTACACTTATAAAAACTTTGCATCTTGGGTTGTTGATGTTCAAGTCGGTTCTCTAGTTCTCGGATTTCTACAAATAAAATTTTGATTTAATAGATACTGAAATATGACAAAAAACCACTAATGCTTATAAAGAAATATTCAAAACTAAATTTAAAAAAGTACTATATGTGAACATAGTAGGAAGTTCCTATATTTATCACTGAAAATTACAAGATTCTCATTGTGTTTCTTTTATAAAGTTGAAATTTTGCGGTTTACACTGAAGTCAAAAAATTGTTAGTATCTAACACTTGAATCCACCAACAATGTCCTAAGACTTTTCAAAATTTCAGTATTTAGTTCCAACAAGTCCAGTCTGAAGATCTATTTCATTTGTATACAAAAACATGTTACATCAACCTTCCTCACAAGTTCTCCGACCATATAAAGATTTGAAATGTATGTTCATAGCCCAATTTTTCAAGGCCAGCTTTGACACATGTTTTTACATCCATTTTTCATGGGCTTTTCAAAAAATGAAATTTTTAAATCTGAAGCTTTTGGAGGAATCTCTGGTAATTTTTTTAAAAGTTTTCTTTAAAAGGTAACCAGGGTTTCCAGTTGAATTTTTTTGCATAAATTGTGCAAATATTGTGCATAGAATTGCTTACGTTTCGAGTAAAAATCAATCTTAATTTGTAACTGTGTTACTTACAAATTAAATAATCATAATAACATTCACTAATCATCAGTCCGGTCTGAACTTGGAGACGAGCAGGGTTAAATGGAAGTTGTTTATTTATTGAAACTAATTCACACCATAATGTCCAAATATTATGATCTTTCATATTTATGCAATATATGGCATGCAACAAATATTACTTAATTTCGTTTTCATGCACACTACTGCTGTACATAATTTTCAAGTTTTTGTTTTCAAGTGAATTTCAAAATTACATGCAAAAATGACCAATATTCATGCAAATATCATGAAAAAAATCTGACTCAAATTTCTTATTCATGTGAAATTTTGTGCAAAAAAAATTATTTATTTTGAATGAATGTGCAGTTTTGTGCAAAACTGGTTTCATATTGATACGTAAATGATGCGGAATTTCATGCAAAAAAAGTCATTTCGTGCAGAACCACGGAACTGTTGCGCAAGAGAATTGAGTGTTTTGAGGAAACCCTAAAGGCAACCCACTCAACAAAACCAAACTGAGAGCATTAGGTTCTCACAAGTTCTCATAACAAAATTTTAAGCAAATTGGTCTAAGGGTTCATGCATTTTGATCAAACATCCAATTAAATAAATCTGACAGACAGAAAAACAAGCAGAATATCAGGAAATTTCTCCTGAACTTTGTTTCTGGGTTTGGAGAGAAGACTGTTTGAAGGATTATTATTTTGAAATAGTTTCGCATACGTATCAGACTATTTTCTAACTTAAGGGTGGACTTTAATCTATCTCTTAACAAAATGAAAAATAATACTTTAAAGCAAGCACTCTGTAGGTAACATACCTTTATTCTGTATTCCAGGAGGCTCCATTTCGGTGATTTTTTCCAATCTTGGTTCAGTTTCATTATTTTCCCTTTGATATGAAATGTAAATTACTCCAAGATGTTAATATTAATTAAAAATCTTGTATTTTAATTGCCACTTCAAATAATAAAAAAATCTCGAAATTGAATCAACTATGAAGGTTTTAAAATACCATGAAGAGATCTCTTTATCCTGGATTTCAGTACCCCTGGCAACACAGCTTGCTATTAACTGAAAATAAAAGTTTATTTGCCATTTTTTTATTGATAGTTTATTGGTGTTTAAATAATGTGTCTACAGTATACACCCAACACTAATTCAGGGGTATATATTTTGAAAGACTGAAATTTTTTTTGAAAAAAACTATTAACTATTAACTATTAAAGAATTTTTGTTTCATATGGTAGGGGGGTTTTAAAAGTGTATTTACCCACACAACTCTTGTTCATTTCAAGTACCGAACCAACTGTGAACCTGCAAGCTGTACAGTACACATGCAGAGTATATAAGGCAAAACAGGACACTATGTCTAATGAACAATCCCCTTTTAGTGAAATGGATGTGCCAAATCATTAGCTTTGGAATATATTCACAATTTTCAATATTCACATATTATTTTGTTAACCTACCAACATAAAGAGAAACATAATTTAACAGTGATAAGAAGACCACCGTTAGATTCACACTACTTGTTCCCTACTGGTTTAAACACCATGTGAGCAGCACTCTTGAATAGTCAAGGATCATTAAACTAATTTGAATTACCCGTGACACTCTAAAGGATAGAAAGAGTTTTTTTGATTAATGTCTAAAACAAAAAGATGTTGAAAGATTCTAATTTCACTTTACACAGTGTAATACATATTTTAAAAGAGGGATTCAGTTACAGCACTATTTCATTTGTCCAGGGATCATTTTTCCTATAGGGTGGGGAATATTTCATTTGTCCTGTGCATCATTTGTCCTTTGCAGTATTTGTCACACACATCATTTGTCCTACACCTTATTTGTCATTCACATCATTTGTCCTACACATCATTTGTCCAACAGAGAGCGGGAAATAATTTTTCCTACACTTCATTTGTCTTGCGCATTATTTGACAAACATGCTTTTTCCTTTAAAAGATAACATCACTGGTTATATAGTAATGTTAAAAATAGAAAATCCGCAAACTAACATTGCATAAATCTGTCAATTTATTCTTTCTGAGAATTGATTGGAACAAGGATTAACGGCAAGTTGCTTGACTCTAAAAGTTCTAGTGGATCCAAAACACATTATCTGTAACAAAGTCAACAATTCAAACAAATCAATTTAGACTAAGAAGGATGAAATGCTAAAGTCTCATGTCAATGGCTGGTGGGCATACCATTGTTCTAAGAACATTTGATGAAGCTGTAACAATGATACTGGATCACATGAATCTGTCTGGAAATTGAGATAGGTTTCTCAGGTTTGATGGTAGAGTGACTTGCAGCCTACAATGCTTATGTTTATGTCTCCATTTGGTCAAAGCTCCTTAATCTTTCTTAGTAATTTTATGCTGATGGGACTTTTCCCAGGTTTATGTAGTCTTGTAGTCTACCTGATAAGGAAACCAAAACTTATACCTTTTTTTGGGCTGAACTAAAATCAATTCTTGACATAGAAGCTGTTGCTGTTCATTGTCCCTTCCCTTCCAGATTACAATGAAAGTTTAGATTTTAAAATTGTTGTCAGCAAGATGCTAGTACTGGCATTTGTGCCTATTGATCAATAAATACCTTTGTGGACAGACATGATTGAGCCAGAGATGTACAAGATGCAAGATGACTTAACAGAAGAGATGGACAAATACATCAAATGTTATCATGACAATTATATTCGCAAAATTGCATGGAATGGAAGAGTTAGTAAGCCCCTGTTAAACCATGATTCAGATTGAAATTATCATGAACAGTATTCCCACATTCAACATTTCGGTAAAACCTGGGATGGACCACCATTGATGGGTACAGGCATGAGGATGGGCTAGCCTGTCTAAAACGGGCGGAGAATCCTGAATATGTTATGCAAGGGAGTGGGTGCAGAGAATCCATGATTCCCTCAAACTGACCTCTGAAGACTCCTGATTCAAAGAATGGTCTTCAAGCCAATTGAAATTGTCTCTGAGGCTCATGCTACATCTGACAGGCTCCCCAACTCTGTCTTTCATCCAGCAATTTGATATTCAATTTCTAATATTTAGCTTTTGCATCCATAACAGCACTAAACTTGTAAAGAACTATTCCAGCCTTACATTAAGAATGACAAATTTATTTAATTTCACAGGTGCATAATGTACAAATATATCTAGACTACCACCAATTCACAAAACATCAAAGTTTTTTTTGAAAAACTTGAATAATGAAATACATTAAAATCACAAATTTAAGTATTTCTCAAAAACTATTTTTGTTTTGTGAATTGGTGGTAGTTTAATTTAAAACTGTTTCAGTTTAAGTATGAGAGGTTGAAAAACCAATGCTCATGTTTTTAATCTATTGTGTAAACCAAGAATCCTTTCTAGAACAAATATCTACCATGATGCATTTGCAGTTTATTTTATGTTCTATTATCAAATATTCTAATCAAACAAATATAAATATGAACCTTGTTTAACTTAATTTTATTTTATTTTCCTCTCTCTGTAGAACAAATAAAGTTAGGACAAAAAACGTTTTCTATTTACTGCAAAACAAATGATGTGTAGGACAAATGATGTTTTCCTCTTACTGAAGGAAAAAAGATGTAAAGGACAAATGATGAATAGGACAAATGATGTCTACGACAAATGAAGTGTAAGAAAAACGATGTTTTTTCTCTTTACTGTAGGACAAACGATGTATAGGATAAATGATGTGTAGGACAAATGACATTTTGCTTTAAGATATCCATCCTAGAGTTTTTAATTTCACTTGTTTCATATATATATTCTAGAGTTTTTAATTTCACTTGTTTCAGATATATATCCTAGAGTTTTTAATTTCACTTGTTTCAGATATATATCCTAAAGTTTTTAATTTCACTTGTTTCAGATATATATCCTAGAGTTTTTAATTTCACTTGTTTCAGATATATATCCTAGAGTTTTTAATTTCACTTGTTTCAGATATATATCCTGGAGGTTTATTATTCCACTTGTTTCAGATATATATCTTGGAGGTTTATTATTCCACTTGTTTCAGATATATATCCTGGAGGTTTATTATTCCACTTGTTTCAGATATATATCCTGGAGGTTTATTATTCCACTTGTTTCAGATATATATCCTGGAGGTTTATTATTCCACTTGTTTCAGATATATATCCTGGAGGTTTATTATTCCACTTGTTTCAGATATATATCCTGGAGGTTTATTATTCCACTGGAATAATCATTAATGACAAAATGTTAACAACTTTAATAAGTCCTTGTTCTTATTCAAAAATAGTCATTTTTTTTAGTAGCTTAAGATCTAAAACTAGTACTTGATTTCAGAAAATAGTCTAAGATTGGGAATTGTTGTCCTCTTCTTGTTTAATAAAAGGCTGGTTATAATTTCTAAAATTGACTTTTACTCTTGATAATAAGGGTAGGGAGCCTGGGATCTTAAAAACCCAATCTTTCAATTCATTCTGAGTTAGAAATGAAACCACCTAATCCTTTAATTCATGCCAGTTTCTAACATTCAGTGTTAGAAATAAGAAAGTGTTAGTTTTGGACCTAATAATGTCCCCTGTAGTGTTGATCCTAAGTTTGATCAAAATTTAGTAAATCAAGTGTATTAAATAAGGGGTGAAAAATCCCTCTATTAGACATCATATTTTTAGACTAATTCTCTTCCAATTATTACATTCTATGCTTATTTGTCAGTTGTTTGAAGTTCTAATTCAGAACATACATCTAATATTCTTTGTGGTAATTAATCAATTTATTACTGAGTAAATTATGCATCTTTGAATCTTGTAGAATAAGAATAATAAGAACACAAAGTACTCCAGCTAAAGCACATTAAACTTTTTACCAGTTGTTACTAACATTTATTGAATACTTTAAATCAATTAAGAACAAGCTTGATTCAAGCAGTTGTAAGCCAGTCTTTACTTCAGACCAACCATGCTTTTTATCTTATTAGTAAGTTCGGAATTATACAAGAATGATTTATGCTATATTTATGATTAATGCTCTTCAGTTACAGATGGGTTGGAGATTATTAGAAAACTATTGCAACATAACTGTAATTTAATACTAAATCTACTGAATTCAAAGTACTTGAATGTAATCTGTCCGTTTGATTTTGAAACTAATACTTTTCAGCTTGTAGCATGCTGTTCTTCCAGATCGGTTTACGATGATGTGTCTTCTTCATGGTAATAAACTAGGGTGATTTCATGTTTGCCCGCTCTGTCTCATTAATCCCTGCTGACCTCTGTCTTTCATACTCCTTCAGTACATGTATTGGGTATTCTTTTGTTTCTTTTAGTGGATTTCATCCACTTTAATACACATGAGTGCAGATTCCAGTCTTACAAATCTACTCCTTTAAACCTACACATTAATTGAATACCTCTGAAAATTCCTCCTGCAGGTATCATTCACTGTAAGGATTACTGAAATAATGGACTCAACTTAAATTTTAAGTACTTATTGGGGATATAGCCAGATATAAAACAAATATACACAAGAGTTTTGACTTCATATTTAAAATTGTACCATTAAATAAAGCTATTTAAAGATAGAGATATATTGCAAGGTAATGACTTTAATTGCATAACTTTAATAAACAACTTTATAATTCATAGGTCAGAGACTATAATCCTGTGATTTCTCAGGGAAGACTCTGAACCTAGATGGGAAGAATCTAATCAAGTAGACTTTGACAGTGAAGAAGAAGATGAGCCCTCCGCATCATGGGAGAGTGGTATAGCATCATTATGTATCATAATTGTGTTTCTCTACTATATTATTATAACTAAGACAATATCTCATTATCCATTGGGACAAACAAGGGACATTTTTGATGGTTTAAAATATATTTTTTAAGCTATTGGGAAAAACTATACTTTATCATTAACATTTTTCAATGTTGTTATCAAAAGCATATTTTTAGTTTCACATGAGGAAACATCTTGGGTTGAAGAATCAAAACCCAGGGTGAAAACAGTAAGAAAGTGTAAATGTGTTACTGACACTAAACCTTGCAAGAACAAGACCAAAAAGAGCTCCTCAAATTGGGTAGCATCTGATTCTGCAGAATCACTAAAAACTGCTACCATGACTGAGGAAAAGACTTTAGGAGCAGAACTGTCAGAAAATGGAATGAAAGAGGAGCATGGGAATTCTGCACCAGTTGGAGATGATTATTTCGACTTAGGAGGACTTCTTGGGGTAACCTTTACTATGTTATCTAATTAATATTATTTAATAAGAATACTTCCATTTTATTATTTATAGTTACTTCCTCAAGCACTGGTGCTGGGCGGGGAAATCCCCAGAGGTGTATTTTAGTGGACTTAATCTTTCAATAAATTCAGCATCTCATGAATAGCTTGTACTAAACTTAAATAAAGTATATTTGATTTTATTCCACATTAAAAGCTAGAAAAGAGAGCTATGAAAAATGTGCAGCAATTTAATGATAATGACTAAGTATAACTCAAGAAAGGTTAACCCGTTAAATGCACCAATGAACGTTGAGAAGTATTATTTTGATGATTTTCTTCTATTGTTTTTACTGCTGAAATGCACAAGTCTCTCAGACATAGCTGTAAATACAACATTTCAGATAGTCAGCAATTTTTTCAAGCTGAGAAAATAATTCTGTGCGCAAACTCTAATTTTCTATAAATCCCAATATCTGAAGTCTGAAATATCAAGCTAGGGTATAATTAATCTTTTTTCAATCCATTTATTAATGGTTAGAGAAATTGACAGTGCATTTAGATCTTAACTGAGAACTGTTATTACTTTTATAAAGCATTTATTCAGTCTTTCGACATTTTTATTTTTCTATTTAAATGATGATTTGAAAATTAACCACAGTTTTTGTTTCTCATAGTTAATTATTTAAAAACTGATGTTTGCAGGCCCATAACCAAGGGGGGGGGGGGGCAATAACGAATTTGCACCCCCGCCCCCACCCGGTCCCATATAAAATAAATTGTTTCTCATAATTTTCTAAAATCTAGTTACCAATAATATAGCTCAAACAAGAGTTGATTCCCTTCCCAAACCAAATTATAATCTTACTAGAAATTCAAGGCCCTTCGTGCCCTTCTTTCTAGGCTTTAGGGCGCTTCTTCTATTTAAATTCTGAACATGTTCTTTTTCTTTACATTTCAAAACAAAGAAGAAAACAATTTTGCAGATTTTCAAAAAAAAATTCGCGGATTTACAAGAATTTAAATTTTTTTACAAAATTGAAAACCTTTAAAACACATTTTTTAAAATTTTTATCATTCATAAACCTTCGCTGTGGTCACATGATGTCTCACAAAAAATTTGGGCTGGATCAGTTTAGCAGTTTTGACGTTTATTAGATACAAACAGACAGACAAGCTAAATTTATATATAGATTGTGTGTCACTCATTAAAAGTGGGTGTGTGTGTTTGTGTGATCCACAGCTGTCGCAGGCTAACTAACAGCTGATCAGTACACTCTGTTAATTAAATATAACACAAAATCTTGATTTACTCATAGTCATTAAATAGTTGTTTAAGCCTAGGTTTACATTTGTCATTTTTAGTCAAAGTAGAAGGGTTTTTTGAGTACTCAAAAATTCACTAAGAATGTCTCAATGTCTCAATGTCAATAAATAAACTCTTTTGAACAAAATATTAGAAATTATATTTTTTATTCATCTTCATAATATCATGATGAGGCCGAGGGACAAGAAGCCTTGATTTTAAATAATGAATTTTTTCCTTAATTAAGCTAAAGTACCATTCATTAATTTTTTATGTATATTGTATATGTAAACTGAAAAGTTTCAGACACTAAACTGTAACTTTTAAAAGCTTAAATACACTTGTTAAAAAGGTTTGTCTTTATAGGGTACATTGACAATGTAATAAAGAAAACCATATACCACCATAAAAACAAACCTAACAGTGCTTTTAAAAAAAACCTAAAAAAATGTTTGCACCCCCCTTAGAAAAATCCTGGTTACGGGCCTGGATGTTTGTAAGCAGAAATGTAAAAAAAAATTAAGATTTTAATTGAAAGGAAAATTATATAAAAAAAGCAAACTGATATTGGAAGTGGGCAAAGGAATTTTGCTGCGAAGTATGAGACAGTTAAGAAAAACAGGATGAAAATGATGAACACAGAATGAGAAGGATGAGAAGGATAAAAAGAATAAGAAGAATGAAAAGGAAGAGTACAGAATATGAAGAATAATAAGGATGAGAAGGATATAAAGTATTGAAATCTGGGGGGCTGCAAAACCTTAAAACAGTAATTTGTATATTTCAATGAAATAAAAAGTTAAAATACTTGTCAGTATCCATTTCTATAAGAACTCTCAAGTACTATTATGTAATTCTCCAATAGAATTAATCTGACTGGAGGAAGAGATATTAGAACTCCCAGATCCAAGTTCTGTTCCATTCAAATTATTTGAAAATAAATCAGCCTGGCTGAGGACAATTTTATGAAAAAGACCTAGTATACCAAACCAATCAAAATAGTCAGTTCTATTTGAAGTAATGGAAGGAGGGGTTGTATCTTCATCAATCTTTTCAGATACTTTCTCTTGCCCATCTTTCCTCTCGATCTCCAGAAACCCTGCTTCATCCATATCTGTCCAAGTAGCTGTAGGAGTTTGCAACGTTGCATAAGGATTAGATTGGATTCTTCTTGGGGATCTCTGATTAGAATTTACTTTTCTCAGATTTGATCTTCCAGTCTTACTCTTGTTCTTGTTTGGATAAATTGTTACACATTTACACGTATACACACTTTTCTTCTTGGTTTGTTGATGTTCAAGCCGGTTGTCTTGTTTTTGGATTTCTACAAGTAATTTTTTGATTATTTAGATACTCAGTTATGCAAAGAAATTCACCAACACTTTTTGAAAATTCTCAAAACTTAATGTAATATAGTTCTATATGTGGACATTAAGATGTTCACAAAAGACCGATTTTTGAAAATAGATGTGCCTAAGAGCATTTCCAGTTACAATGTGTACAGTGAGCTCAATATCTCTAAAAAACTACACAAAGCTTAAAAAAACTAAAATTTTTAGAATATACATAATTTTCTTTGTAACTGTCCAAAAAGATTGAATCTGTTAAAATTTTGAAAAATTCAAAAAATTGTTTTAAAAAAACCAGAACTTGGTAGGCGACATGAAAACCTTATGTAATGTTTTAGCCAGAGAAATGAAAACTAAAACTTACTAAAAAACTACATACCTTTATTGATCTGTATCTCAGGGAGCACATGTACTTCTTCAGCAGCATTGTCTTTTGTGCTGTTATCTTCCCATCTTGGTTCAATGTTATTATTTTCCCTTGGATATGAAATATGAATTACACAAAGATGTTAATATTAATCAAAAACTCATTACATATTATAATTGCGACTCTAAATACAGGGGAAATTATTTTCAAAACTAAAAATGAGTGCTGCAAATAAGCCAAGTCTGTAAATGTATCTTTAGGGTTAATACCTTTAAATTCAAGCTAAGTGGATCTAAACTACACCATACATTTTTTTAAAAATATGGCTAAAACTATATATTGGAATAAAAATGTCATGTTTATTTTTTGATGATATTTGATTTAATTTTCGAACACAATTCAGCTCATGTCTCATTTTCAATTTCAGGACACATCCTGGTTTTCAGAAAATTTCTTCAAGATTTTATGCACTTTTGGAACAAAACAAGGCAACATAAACGTAATATTTAACTAGTAATGCAGGAAGTTGTTTGTTCAAAATGTAGGTAATTAAATCAACTTAATTCTCTTATTTAATAAATACAATGAATAAACTAAGATATAAGAAATATTTCGTTTTCATAAGATAATTTTAACTTTCAGTGACTTATTTTGTAAGTTATGAAAGTGAACTATATTCTAATAAGTGGATTATGCTCTAAAAAGTGGGTTTTGTCTTGAAACCATGATCATCAATAATTAAAATTCATGTCATGTTCGATAATCGTAAACCTGACTTTGAAACCGGATACAGAAAGAACACCTTTATTAATCATTTTGATTTGCAGAACATTTTTAAATTGGGAATTGTTGTCCTCGAGAGGCTTAATAAAATGTTGGTTATAGTTTTTGATATCAAACTTTTACTCTCGATACAGGACAGAATCCTAAAAACTCAGTCTTTTAGTTTGTGCCCATTTGTGTTAGAAGTTGGCCAAGTGCGAGTTTTACCATAAAGAAGGCTCATTATCCTGTATTCCAAAACTCAAGGAGACAAAGCTTGCTACCAACTGAAACTAAGAACATAGATGATGTTTCTTCTTTTCTTAAAACTGAAAGTGATTACTTATATGCCTTCGATAATGTTTCTTAACCCAACCACTAATTCAGCGGTATAAAATTTAAAAATCGATTTTTTGATGAGTCAGATCTTATCACCCTTTTTTCTCCTTTTTCATGAATAAAAGTTCAATTCTGCAAAAATGTCAATTTTAAGAGAATATACACCCAATCAATATCTTTTGCAAAATATAAAAATACTATTTTGTTAACCTACCAACAAGAAGAAAAACATGATGTCAGATAAAAAATGATTATACCACTGCTAACTTCCAACTACTTAGTATCTTGTCAGTTTAACACCTCTTAAGTAGTACTCCAGAATTTTCACAGATCATTAAACAAATTTGAATTGCTCATGACACCATAAAGACTAGATAAACTTGTAAATATTTGGCATGATTTCATAATAATGCATTAAGCATTTAAATTAGCAATGCATGGTGAATTTTTTATTATTATTCTCTTTTTTTTTTATTACAGAAATCCGGATCACAGCTCATACTGATAAATGACTTAACAAGACTAGGTACATTATTTAAAATTTTGGTATAGATAACTGTATTGGTACATATATATACATAACAAATGCTGAGATCGATGGTTTACTTCTAAATGTGGTTATATTGGTAGTTGCCCAGCCTACTCCTGGTTCATAGAGCTGCTCATTGGGTAGGGCCAGAAGATGGGCCAGGTCTGGGCTCCTCCATCGTTGAGTCGTCACCCTCCCTCCTGTCGTCATGATCGTCCGACTCCTCTTCGAGATCCGAGGGTAGAGGAGGTGGAGTGCTCATTGTGAATCTCTTTCTGGATCTGCCTGAAGGAGAATCATCATCCCTCCTTCTCTTCTGTCCAGAACAGCGACCGCCAGGCCCTCCTCCAAGAGACCTAACAGCATGATCAAACTTCCGTGATGACTCACCCGGGTCCACATTAAACATCTGCATCATGTTAACGTAGTCTTCCTTGTTGATTGCAAGGGCTGTGTCGCTAGCTCCTATTAGGTCCTTGACTTCCTTGGTTACTTCCAGTACCTTGTCCTTCGTGACCCTGTAGAGTTCGTCGAATTCAGCAGAAAACCCATGGTGGTTTTGGTATCTGGCTTCCATCCGATTGTTCCTATTCCTTGCGGATATCAGCGGTGATGCAGTCATGGTGCTGCTCGGGCATTTGTGGAATAGGAACGATCCTATTACTCCCAGCGGAACAAGGAGATCCATGATCCTATGTTTGTCCGGCTTTCCCGTTAGGTACATCCTCCCTTTGTGATTCCACATCCTCGGGTCAACAGTTCTAGTCTGCTTGGCTGTCCTCAAGTCGTTAAGGAACCGTTGATATTCGTACACGCAGTCTAGAACCTGGTCGAACTGTGGGGCAACCAACCACAACATGTTTTTGCGGTGTAGCTTTATGACCGAATGTAGCAGCGCAGCCTTGGCCATCCCAGCCGGCGCTGCGTCGCACCTAATTTTCATGTCGTCGGCCAGGATGGCCGACCCCACTGCACTCCCACTAGGATGGGCAGATACTCGAATCCGGGTCTTCATGGCCATTAAATTCATACACAGATGTGTACTGACCCAATGGCCAATCTCCCACACAGTGCTTCTTGCAGTCTCAGAAATGGAGCTCTCATTCGTCTGCATGAATTGACATATGGTTCCTGCTATCTTTGTGATAAAGTTAGTTGCATGTCCCTGGCCGACGTGGTGGTTGGTCGTATACCATTTGAACTTAGCCGCGACCATAAGGGTCAGTGCCTTGCTGACCATTTCGTTCGTACAGTATGTAATTAGCCACCTGTTGGTTTGCTGAGACTGGATAGCTGTCTTCATTGCCTCATCCATCTCGGCCTGAAGCATGTCCCTTGTGTCCTGAGTGTGTCGGTCGACCCCATAATAGGTCCTCCATTCCCTACCCACCACCCCAGCCAAAGGAAACAAGGGATCAGAGGTATCGACTTCAGAGGTATAGCCTGGAGGCACTTGAACTGCATGTTTCCCCTTGAACATGACACTCCCATCACCGTGAACTATGATCTCCTTCGGGTCCAGCTCAAAATACCCGCAGAGACCTGAGTGGATGGCTGTGAATGCAGCTGTAACCTTCATTCCCTTGCAAGCGTCATCCTTACCCAGACTCTTGAATTTCTTGTTCAGCAAACCCTCGCGCTTCGCAATGAACGCGGTGTGGCAGCTATGAAAGTCGTCTTTCCTAGGAAGAACCTTTCGCGGCAGGGAGAAGAATAGGGGAGTTTTCTAGAAGCCACGTCATATATATATATTTTCTACTTTGTAACTTTATATTTAAAAATATAGTTAGTCGTTATCTAAATCCTCGTCTTATTGCTATCCGCCAAAGCGGCGTGTGCTAAGCGCCTCAAAGCACGACTCTGTCTCGCGTGGGATCCTATGACTGTCCATGAACTTGTTGCGGTAGTCTCATCTGTTGAGCCCAGGATTAGATGCGGGGGTGCCAAGGGAAGCTTCTCACTTTCTTTCAATCCTGCATCGCCTTGACCTGCAAGCCCGGCCGCCAAGCTACCATTTATATCGTTACAAAACTTTCCCAGTTGTTCCAGTACTTCTCTGGGTATCACGGTAGCCATCTCTGACAACCTGTTTAGAAACTAAAGTGACTTATTCTCCTGATGACGATCCCCAGACTGCGTTACTATACAACTGTTTCTGTCTTTGTTTTCTCTTTTAAAAGTGAATCAAGCAAATATAAGCTTGGTCTATTAAGAATTTTTTTATTAATAAATTGATTTATCATTTGAAGTTTATCAATGTGTCAACTAAATTTAAACTTCAGACAATAAAGACACTTACAGACAATTCAATTCTTTAGAAAGAAATAAACAGAAATTAAGATTGTAATTTTCATCATTGAATTCCATGCTATAGAATTTGATCTGTATGAAATTAATCTCCTTTTTTAATGTGTGGTAATTGATCCAAAACATTTTTTCTCAAATATAATATATTTTCCAACACTAAATATTTTTTGAATTTCATCAAAATAGTTAACAACTAGAACTAAAATGTGTAGAATTAGAACTAAAATGTGTAAAATTATAACTAAAATGTGTAGAATTAGAACTAGAATGTGTAGAATTAGATCTAGAATGTGTGGAATCAGTACTAGAATGTGCATAATAAGAACAAAAGTGTAGAGTTATAACTAAAGTGTGTAGAATAAGAACTAAAATGAAGTTTACTCATCTCTAACCTAAACCTTAGTCATCTCTAACCTGAACCTTAACCCTCTCTAACCTGAAACCTAATAATCCTACCATGAACTCTACTCCTCTTTAACCTTAACCCTACTCCTCTCTTACCTGAACCCTACTTCTGTCTATCCTGAACTCTACTCATCTCAAACCTAAACCCTACTCATCTCTAACTTGAACCCTTCTAATCTCTAAACTGAACCCTTCTAATCTCTAACCAGAACCCTACTTCTATCTAATCTGTACCCTACTCCTCTCTATCCTGAACTATACTAATCTCTAATCTGAACCCTACTCCTTTCTAACCTGAACTACACTAATTTCTAACCTGAACCCTACTCATCTCTAATCTGAACCTTATTCATCTCTAACCTGAACCCTACTCATCTCTAACCTAAACCCTACTCATCTGTAATCTGAACCTTATTTATCTCTAACCTGAACCCTACTCATCTCTAACCTGAACCCTACTCATCTCTAACCTGAACCCTACTCATATCTAACCTTAACCCTACTCATCTCTAATCTGAACCTTACTCATCTCTAACCTGAACCCTACTCATCTCTAACCTGAACCCTATTCCTCTCTAGTCTGAACCTTATTCATCTCTAACCTGAACCCTACTCATCTCTAATCTGAACCTTATGCATCTCTAACCTGAACCATACTCATCTCTAACCTAAACCCTACTCACCTCTAATCTTAACCTTATTCATCTCTAACCTGAACCCTACTCATCTCTAACCTAAACCCTACTGATCTCTAATCTAAACCTTATTTGGAAATTTTGAAAGATCTCATAACAATCAAATTGACACTTTAAATACAGGCTCATTAGAAGATCTTCCCTTACATGCACTTTTTAAGAGATGGAATAAACTGCCACTTGATTTAAAAAGAAGTGCCTTGTTAGGTATTTAAAAAAAAAGTTTAATTAAAATGTTATCTGACGCCTGCAACTCAAAGTGCAATAAAACCTTTTGTTATTCTTGCAAAAAATGAATATAGAACTGTGTAGATTTTTGTATATGCTTAATCTTATTCTGTTAAAGGTACTAAACTTAAAACTGAAAATTCAATTAGTTTGTTATGCTGCACCTCGGTCTCTTTAAATTTAACTAGTAATCCCTGACTTATTGTAAACTTTCAAAACCTAGTATTATTCATGAAATTGTAAACGTTTTAATAATCATTAGGTGGGGATAATATCAGCAAATAGCTAATCTCCACCTAATTTCTAGAATTGCATAAAGAAGGTAAACAATTTAAAAATAGTTGCAGATTTTTTGCCTGTAACATTATAACTTGTATGTGTATTTTTAGCAATGAACTATATCTTATCTTATCTTATCTTATATATCTCTAACCTGAAGCCTACTCATCTCTAATCTGAACCTTATTTATCTCTAACCTGAACCCTACTCATCTCTAACCTGAACCCTACTCCTCTCTTACCTGAAATCTACTCATCTCTAACCTGAACCCTTCTCATCTTTAACTTAAACCCTACTCATCTCTAATGTAAACCCTCCCATCTCTAGACTGAAACCTACATATATCTAACCTGAACCTCACTCATCTCTAACATTAAACCCTACTCATCTCTAAACTCTAACTTAAGGGTCCCCAAGTTGTACTAAATTTAAGAAATGATTAATTAATTATCTCAATAAAGATATATAAATTTTGACAAAAAAGAATAAAATGTTCCAAGGTACAGCAGGGGGGGGGGGGGGGAGGTGTGATTGTAACCCCAGTCTTCAGTCTTACATAAGCAATATGTTATATAGGAATTGAGTCTATAAAAGATTTTGTATAGAAATTGAGTCAGTGCAACAAACTCAAAGTTTCTTATCCCTATGCTTGTGTATCAGAGTTTGTGGGAAAGAATGAATTCCTTTATAACATTATATTTACATTAGTGCCCAATTAATGATAAGAATAATTGCTTTTTACAAACCTGGATTGTAGCTTCAAAGTTTACATTAGAAATAATTCCTAATAAAATTTTAAATATCTTTGAAGGAAATTATGTAATTTTCTATTTCCATTTCAGTTAGATCAAAAATAGCAATCAAAACTTTTTCTGGTCATTAAAATTATCATGGTAATAAAGCGTTATCTTTGATTTGCATAATTATTTTTCTTTGATACTTTATTAAAATGTATATAAACATTACAGCCCAGTTTGAATCAGTACAAGTTAAAGCATTGTAAAGTTAAAACATGCTTTTCATCATTTTGGTAGGAATCTAAGATTTTAATAAACACTTTAAGAAATCATCCTAATATCTATAAACACTTTAATAAATTATCCAAATATCTATAGACACTTTAATAAATTATCCAAATATCTATAGACACTTTGAGAAATCATCCGAATATCTATAGACACTTTAAGAAATCATCCAAATATCTATAATTGACACTTAAAAAAATTTTTTTTAGATAGATAGATAGATAGATATAATTAAAGTACATAATTTGATATATTTTTTAAACTAACAATTTAATGACTGGATTTTTAATTCTACTATTTTAAGTTGATTATTTTAGTTAGTTGCCGGGTGCACCATGGGGAAGGTGGTTCAGCAGGAAAAGTAAGTTGTATATGAGAATTAGCATTATATTTAAACTAGTATTAGATTAAGCCTAGATAAAAAGTAAGTTGTGTATGATAATTAGCATTATATTTAAACTTGAATTAGATTAAACCTAGATGAAAATCAATTCTAAAGAGAATCCACATTCACCATTTTCAATTAGGGATATCACCGGAAAACTTTTTTATTGAAAATGCGCCAATATACATTCGCGAAAGTTTAAGAATGGTGGGAAAAGGCGACTTGCAGATGAACAATAAAAAGCTTTAATTGTTATTTAAGAAAGGGACCTGTAGTAAATCTGGCTTTTAGATTTTAAGAAATGACATCTCCATTTATCAGGGAAGATGAGTCTGCCACGTGGGGCGAGAGTTCTGAAGAATTTGTGGTCTCAGACACCTGGAACTCAGGTAAACAAGCTGACCCATTATATTATGGAACTAGCTGAAGTGACCGGCATTGCCCGTGGAATTATTTTAATTGATTATTTGATTAAAAAACATCAATTTTTGAAGAAAACTAAATTTCGAATTTTTATATAGATATTAAGGTGACATTTTAGCAATCTTTTCAATTTTAGCAATCAATTCGAGGATGAAAATCAGCTTATAAACTGCTATTGCTGTGTTTCATGTTTATTGTTTAAAGTCCTCTGCAGTTTTCAGAAGTCCAAAGGAGTTCCGCGCACGCAGAGTCGAATTACAAGACAGAGAGAAAGCGTGTGCTGCCTGCGCAGAACTCCTTTGTGCTTCTGCCCCAGGGTTATTGTTAACGAAAACCCCCTGGATGTTGAAAAGACGACATCTAGTGTCATGTCCGTTATTTTAATTAATATATGGGTTAAACCATTTGTTTAAACAAACTTTGATTCGTTGATTGTGCAACATCATAATATATCATAGTTTAGCATTATAATATATCATAATATATCATAGTTTTGGAAAGATATACAGATTAGAAAGTTAGAGTTTGAGGCGCTCAATCATTTTTTCATAAAAATTTGTAAGACTAATATTTATGCCGTTTGCCTATAAAACAGTTTAACGATTAAATATTTTTTAGATCCCTGCAGTGAATTAGCCACCTTATTCAACAAGAAACCCTGCATTGAACATCTGCGTCGGGAGACGTTAAAGGAGGATTTGATTCATATCCTGTCTTACCAGGAGCCTTTGAGGAGGGTGGTTAGAAAATACAAACATGTGATTGAGACTGAACCAGAGTCTAGCTGGGAAGCATCTGAAGAAAGTTCTCCAAGCTGGACAACAACCTCGACATGGATGGAAACTGAACCAACAACTTCTTCAACATGGATGGAAACTGAACCAACGACAGTTTGGAAGGAGAGAACAACAACAACAAAAAAAGCGGCATGGCATGAAAGAAAAGAACACAAAAATAAAAATGGCAAAAACAAAAAACATTCAAAACCTGGAGAAAGCAACGAATTCAAGAAAGCTATTGAATATATCTTAGTACACAATATAACTGGAATAAACGGGGGGAATGGCTCTGATTATTTGATGTAATAAAACAATATTGAGTAAATCAAATTTGTTATCTGATTTCTGACATGTTCTTGAAAGTTTTGTTGTGATAATTTCCTAAAATTGAATAAAAAACAAGTATTTTTAACTAAATCCTTAAAACTCCTCAAATTAAGTAAGTTTCAAGGCGATTATTCAATTTCTGCCAGACAAATTTTAATGACCCAGCTAAAGCGTATGTTTTAATATCTACAGTAGAAGTATCAATAGCTTTCATGCTATCCTTCACGGTAATAATAAACTTTATTTATATCTCTTTAACCATGACAATTATAATCAGGGAGATTCAGAATAATATACAATTACACATTTTTTCTTCGAAACAATTAGATTTTGATGACAACAGAGACTGTGTTGTGACATTTCTTATGCATCTAATTAAATTAGATTATTAATATTGAATATATATGATGAGAGAGAACTGATGGATTTAAGTCAGTGGTGAGCAAGACAGTATCACAGCAACACTAAATATGCTTCTCATAGTACTGGTAGGTTCTTCATTTTCATTAAAAACGTTTAAAGCTCAATAAACGACGATATTTCCACGTCATTGGTCAGAAAAAAGTTTAACGAGGACTGTTGTTTTGGCCATTCTCTATTCTTAATGGTGGGGCACATGAAATTTCAATTACATTCTCTTTAAGTTAAAATAAAGTTGTTTCATAACTATTGTTGAATTTTGTAACATTATGAACATCTATAGATCAGTTTAGTTTACACTGAAATGTCAATCGATCTTGCTCGAAAAAGATGTTTTTGATTTGATATTGACCTACTGAGAAAGCTGTAATCCGTAAGATTTTCGTCTGCTAAGGTTACTGTTTACAATTTGTTTGTTTATGTTTTGACTGCATACGGTTGTACAAATAAATTACAGTATACAAACAGAGTAAACTTGTCTGTCTTCACTGTTCATCTTCCGAAGGCATTATATAGACACATCTTTACAGCCATTTACCGTTTTCATAAAATTATTTTTTAAGATCTAGATATTTATTTTTGTATCGAGGTTATATTATGTTTACAACATTGTTTATGTGGATTAAACAAAAAACTATTTTACGATATTATCGTGTACATACATTTGTAAATTAATTAAGAAGAAATCTATTTTACGGATACATTTTTTCGTTTTTTCTTGCCAAGATTGGGGATAAATTTATATTCAAGTATTGACGAGGCAGCAGTTCAAGAGAAAAAACTACATTATATATAAATAAAATCAAAATTAACTCTAGCAGACATATTAATATTATGGCTTTTGAAATTAGGTATTGCAATGCTAATTCATAACAAAGACGATATCGAATTCATCACTGAATTCCCATGTTAATTCGGACTCCCTGTACATACTCGCGTCACAAAAATTACATTGCATTCACGAAAACGGATAAATTCTGTCCATTTCTATCATTTTCTCAGCTGCATTAATTATTATTGTATATAAAGCCACCATATATTCCAGAATGAATATTTTTCTTGGTTTTTAACAATGAACTTAACTAATTATTATTTTAATTATAGCTAAGGTTTTTAGCCTATGTTAGTATCCGGTATCCATGGGTTCCCTTTGGTCCAGCCTTTTGGCCAGCTATAGCTAACATCTAAATGTATAGATAAACATGATCGAGAGAGGAGCTTTATTATTCAGATTTAGATTATTTTGAACCCACAATGTACAAATTGATATAAAATGATTTACATAAATAATACTTTTAAATGGGACAAAAAAAAACCTAATGGACCATTATACTAAAAATTCTTAAAATAGATTTTAATTTTAGCTGATAGCTGGATGTTCTGGTGGAAGGTTTGTTGAAAAAGTAAATGAAGTTTCCAGGTAAATATCTTGTTACATTTTTGAGAAATTAAGAGATTTTTTTTACCTTGTATAATGTTGAATAAATCAATTATACAGAAAACCACTATTGTAAATTATCAGTTTGCAGATAGAGCAACAAGGATATCTCAATCATTATAGTTAAAGAATTTTGAGTCTTCAAAAAAAAATCCCAAACTGATAAAATATATATTGTTTACACTGCAAAACTGCTGCTATTCCGTCGTCTTTCTATTCCGCAGTTTAATGGGTTACACTGTATGACAATGTTTCAGGGAAAAAAGATCTGCGGGTTGGAAGGAGTTGAATAGATCAGATCAAAATTCTGATGAAGATGAAGGTTTGGCAAAAAACAATAAAATAAATTGAAAATTTATTGTTTTTTAGAAAATTATTTTTATAAAACTGATCAAATATTGTTTAAAATTGACGTTTATTAATCACATAACATACCAACATACCAAACATATCAACAGACGATTTTTGTATATTTATCTATATTTACATGAAGTCTAATAATATTTTGTTTTTACAGAGCCTTCTCCGGGACAAAAACAAGTTTATGAAACTGTACACGAGTATCAAATACCAATTGTACAACAAGGTAAAAAAAATATGCACTTCTTGATAAGTTATTTTATTGGATTAAAGCACAACCTATGAATTCTGTAAAATCAAATAATCAAAGCTTGAAATATCAAAGGTTTAGATTATGAGGTTAAACAGATTAGAGATTAGACAATTTGAACTTTATAACTTTAAAAATTTTGCACTTTTTAAACTTCCACTTTTTCACAGAATTCATAATTTGAAATATTATAAAAATTTAGTTTGAGCCAAGGAATATGAATTAGTTCCAAACATTGTAAAAGTATTTCATTTAAAAATTATTACAGATCCGTGCCGGTTTTGGTCCGCCATCTTTAATCTGAGACCATGCTTTCAACAGCTGAGAGGATACAATCCTATGGAGGATCTTAACTTTCTCAATCCAAAGGAGATTGTACGGAAATATGAACGCCTGACTGAAACAGAGCCTGTGAATGAAAAGATTACTTTGGTGCAACCAGGAGAGAGCAAAGTTAAACCAGTAAAACCTAGTTATATAATCCGATTGGATTCGAACTCCTCTGCTGACTGGGAGGTCCGGGTAATCAGGAAAACTACAAGAATTTCACCTGAAATAGTATCATCATCTTCAACATCCAACACAGGATGGACATCAAGAGTATCTACAACAACATGTACAACAACATCAACAACTACAACAAAATCAACAACTACATCAGGATGGTCATCAAGAGTATCAACAACTGCAAGTACAACAACAACAACAACTACAACTACAACTACAACACAATCAACTACAACAACAACAACAACAGGATGGACATCAAGATCGACAACAACAGCATCAACAACAACAACAACAAAGACAACGACGACAACAACAACAACAACAACAACAACAACAACTACAAAAACCACAACAACAACAACAACTACTACTACCACTACTACATCAGGCTGGAAAGAGACTGAAGCCCCGACAACAATGGATTCTGGCTGGAATGATAGACCACATGAGAATGAGTTTGCTGAACTGTTATTGCCAAAGTTACACGAAAGTTTATTCCCCGAAGAAGATTACAGCAAACCTGAAACTGAAGATAATTCTGAAATAAATGCACCTGAATCTAATGAACCTGAACATCTGAATTGGTAAATGCAATTGTCTACATCACATGTGGAATAGTTTAAATTGAAATAAATATCCATTTTGGTTGCTTATACCTCTCATTGTCTTGCAAATCATGAAAACATCAACTTTAAAGTTTAAATCATGAAAACATCAACTTTAAAGTTTAAATCATGAAAACATCAACTTTAAAGTTTAAATCATGAAAACACATCAACTTTAAAGTTTAATTCATGAAAACATTAACTTTAAAGTTTATATCATGAAAATATCATCTTAAAAGTTTGAATCATGAAAACATCAACTTTAAAGTTTAAATCATGAAAACATTAACTTTAAAGTTTAAATCATGAAAATATCAACTTTAAAGTTTAAATCATAAAAACATCAACTTTAAAGTTTAATTCATGAAAACATTAACTTTAAAGTTTATATCATAAAAATATCATCTTTAATGTTTGAATCATGAAAATATCAACTTTAAAGTTTAAAACATTAAAACATCAACTTTAAAGTTTAATTCATGAAAACATTAACTTTAAAGATCAACTTTAAAGTTTAAATCATGAAAACATCAACTTTAAAGTTTAATTCATGAAAACATTAACTTTAAAGTTTATATCATAAAAATATCATCTTTAATGTTTGAATCATGAAAATATCAACTTTAAAGTTTAAAACATTAAAACATCAACTTTAAAGTTTAATTCATGAAAACATTAACTTTAAAGTTTATATCATGAAAATATCAACTTTAAAGTTTAAATCATGAAAACATCAACTTTAAAGTTTAAATCATGAAAACATCAATTGTAATGTTTAAATCATGAAAACATCAATTTTAAAGTCTGTTTTTGTTAAGAAAAAACTTACATGTTTGCAGTCATAACTCTGCTCACTTAAGAGCTTTGAGAATAAATTTTTTGTTTTGATTTCTAATATTATACAAGTAATGTGACATAAATTGACATGCTTCTGGTGTAATGTGAACGGTACCTTAGCAAAACGAAGATATCTCCCGCATTGTTGATCATATGAAGGTTTAATAGTTGAGAATCGTGTATGGAACTGCACAAGAAATTATAATGAAAGTCTGTTTAAAGTACGCATTTTTATCTTTATGTTTTTCTTGTAGAAAGCTTGAGATTACTGTTGTTGTCCTGAATATATAGACCTGACCTGGAGTTTAGTGCAACTAATAGCAGGGTCAACACAGGACTAGAAAGATGGTAAAGGAAATATTGACGACTTAACTTTTTAAACTTATATGTTTGCAGTCTGATGGTTTAAAACAACAAAATGAGGAAATAACACAATTACTTTATTTACTTTTTGAGATTTGGATCATCATAAACACTAAATTCTATTTAAACTAAAGTGCAGTTACTTTTTCTGAATATAAATCAGTACTGTAAACATTGAAGATATTTGAAGCATTTGAATAGAACACATATTTGAATTTAAACATTCTTGAATTAAGTTTTTAAATTCTTCTTTCTTCTACTGACAAGCAAGAAAAAAATAAAAATTTAGCACTAATAAACCTTAACTTTATTTATGACTAGAGCTGAAAACTTTAGAATCGTGGATATCGAGATCAATGTTAGATCCTCTCTTTTTCTTAATCTCCAGATTAAATGAGGCTTGTTTTCCATAAAGGAGGAAAGATATTAAAATTTCCTCTTGAAAAAGGAAATTAACTTTTTAATTCAGGAGATTGAGAGGAAAGAGATTAATGTTGCCTCCATAAAGAGGAGATTAAGATGCTTTTATTACAGCTTTTTAATTCAGGAGATTGAGAGGAAATAGGTTAATGTTGCCTCCATAAAGAGGAGATTAAGATGTTTTTTATTATAACTTTTTAATTTAGGAGATTGAGAGGAAAGAGATTAATGTTGCCTCCATAAAGAGCAGAGATTAAGATGTTTTTTATTGTAGCTTCTTAATTCAGGAGATTGAAAGGAAAGAGATTAATGTTGCCTCTTTAAAGAGGAGATTAAGATGTGTTTTATTATAGATTTTTAATTCAGGAGATTGAGTGGAAAGAGTTAATGTCGCCTCCTTAAAGAGGAGATTAAGATGTGTTTTATTATAGCTTTTTAATTCAGGAGATTGAAAGGAAAGATATTAATGTTGCCTCCATAAAGAGGAGATTAAGATGTTTTTTTATAACTTTTTAATTCAGGAGATTGAGAGGAAAGAGATTAATGTTGCCTCCTTAAAGAGTGCAAACCTTCCAATCTACTGGGTACTAGGTCGGTTAAAAATAGATATTTTTAAAAGTTTTAAAAGGTGTGATTTATGAGATTTTAATTCAAAACATTAAGCCCAAAGAGAATAGAATATATATCAGAGTGTAAAACGGCGATTTTTTGTACAGTTTCCATACTGCAGGTGCACATATTCCTTTACGATATAACATCAAAGGTAAACAGGTTGGAAGATATATGGCCCAGATAAGTCGAGTTTGAGTCAAGTGATCAGTTCAAATCTGATGGTTAATTATACAATTAAAATATTACAGGAGGACCAGGGTCTGGGAAAGGGACACAGTGCACCAATGTTGGAGCTAAAACTGGGTACGTAATTTTGGAGCACATATTTAGCAAATACAAAACGCATCATCACTAAACAATAACAACAAAACATATCAAATCAAAACATATCAAACAGAAAATATCCATCTACTAAACATATAAAAAAAAAATCAAAACTAAACATATTAAAAAACATAAGAAAAAAAAACATTTCAAAATACAAAACTTATCAACAACAAAACATATTAACAACAAAACATATCAACAACAAAACATATTAACAACAAAACATATCAACAACAAAACTTTTCAAAATACAAAACATATCAACAACAAAACATATCAACAACAAAACATATCAAATACAAAACATTTCAAAATACAAAACATATTAACAACAAAACATTTCAAAATACAAAACATATAAATACAAAACATTTCAAAATACAAAACATATTAACAACAAAACATTTCAAAATACAAAACATATTAACAACAAAACATTTCAAAATACAAAACATATCAACAACAAAACATATCAACAACAAAACATTTCAAAATACAAAACATATCAACACCAAAACATATCAACAACAAAACATTTCAAAATACAAAACATATCAACAACAAAACATTTCAAAATACAAAACATATCAACACCAAAACATTTCAAAATACAAAACATATCAAAAACAAAACTTATCAATGTTTATCAATTTGTAAACAAAACATATGAAAATACAAAACTTATATTGCAACTATTCAAGTAATAATTTAAATTATAATCTTGAATTGTAATTTATTGCAAAAGCAGTATGAGACGAGAAAATTTTATAGATGTTCTAACTCTATTCTCAAATTGAATTGTAGTTAATTGCAAAATTTGAATTTTTCATTAACATTTTTATAAATTTTCGACTTGGTGAAAAGAAAATAAGGGAATTTTTAAAAAAAATTTTCAAAACAGTTTTATGAGAAGTGCGAAGGAAGTAATGTATAAGCATCTTTGCTCCTAATTTTTGCAGAGGGGTCTTTTCCAGGTTCATAAGTTATAAAAATAATTATTTTTTCTCCAATAATCTAAAAAATTAGTTTTTAATAAGCATATATATTAATATGTTTTGTCTTTGATATGTTTTGTATCATGATATGTTTTGTATTATGATATGTTTTGTAGTTTGATCTGTTTTGTTTTGACATGTGATGCTATGTGCTGATATGTTCAGTAGAAGATATGTTTTGTTTTGATATGTTTTGTTTTGATATCTTTTGTTTTGATATGTTGTGTTTTGATATGTTGTTTTTTGATATGTTTTGTTTTGATATGTTTTGTTTTGATATGTTTTGTAGTTTGATATGTTTTGTTTTGATATGTTTTGTAGTTTGATATGTTTTGTTTTGATATGTTTTGTTTTGATATGTTTTGTTTTGATATGTTTTGATTTGATATGTTTTGTTTTGATATGTTTTGTTTTGATATGTTTTGATTTGATATGTTTTGTTTTGATATGTTTTGATTTGATATGTTTTTTTTTATATGTTTTGATTTGATATGTTTTTTTTATATGTTTCGTTTTGATATGTTTTGATATGTTTTATAGTTTGATGTTTAGTAGTTTGATATGTTTTGAAGAAGATATGTTTTGATTTGATATGTTTCGTTGTGATATGTTTAGGGATGATATGTTTAGTGCGTGCTCCATAATTATCTTCTTTTATTTTTTTTGGGGTGGGTGGGTTGATATTTAAACGGTTAAACTAATTTATTGTAAATTTGTATTCGGTTAGGTGAAGTGAATGGCCATTGGTCGGTCAGATACAGGTTTTAAACTGTAACTCTAAATATTTATCTATTTTTGTAGAAAAGTACCATTTGAAACAGGAAAATATTTCAATTTTTGATTATTGTTTGTTTGTTACAAGAAGAAACTAAAAATGTTTTGAAAATGACACCAGTTGTCTAGTCGACAACACATTGTATCAAAGATCCTCCCCGTCAAAAACTCCAGAAATGCATTGAATAAACCACAAAATTTTTTATTTTATATTTTCATCTTACAATTATAGATATAAAGTAAAGGAGCATCATCATGGAAATTTATGTTTTGTGCTATAGCACTGTATTTGATATACAAAGCATAATTTCTATGATAAGTTTTGACATACAATATCTAATGACTTAATACCATCTATACTACAATTCAAACTAACCATTTGGTGTGAACTGCAAAGATTTGCAGTACTCTAATTGAAGAATTAGTGGGGTTTAATGGAGAGATATTCTATGAGAAAATATATATCGGGTTACTCCTGAGTTTAGTGGTGAGAAGTATTATTAAAGAATACGTGAGAAATATCAAGTAAAACTGCAAAATAACAAGGTCACACAGAGGGATGGAATGTTAGCTATTGTATGGAAAGCCAGTTTTGAAATATTGAAATATTTGAAAGAGAATTAGAGGATAGGGAACGATGGGGGGGGCAGGTGTTATAGGATAGGGAACGAGGGGGGGGGGTCGGGGTAGGTGTGACTGAGTGTATTAAGTTTTAAAGAAATTGAGCTTTGCCAACATTATTTGAATTAACTAAGGTCTATGAAACCGGGTTGCAAAGATTTATGAATTGAAGTCTTAAAAGCTGAAAGTATTGTAAAAGGAAAACATTCAAAAGAAACAACGTTTATAGTCAAACATATTTTCGACCTCATCAAATTGTTTTAAAAACAACTATTTAAGAAAAAAGGAAAATAATGTTTTACTTTATTATCAGAGTTGGGATTAAAGCTTTGTTTTCTTTCAATTGAGTTCTTTGCAAACATGACTCTGAGATTTCAAGGCAAATCAAGATGATATGTTAGGGTACCGTTGTGAATTGCTCACGTAACAATTGACATTCATTTGTTCGACATTCCAAAAAATATAATTTTTTTTCTTTGATAGGTTTAGTCATTTCTCCAGTGGGGATCTACTACGGAATGATGTTCTCTCTGGGTCTAGACGAGGACTTCAGCTGTTCAGGATGATGGAGCTGGGGGAGCTGGTGCCAACTGTGAGTAATTTTGGTTCACCTTGGGCTACCCATGCGTTCGTTATCTTCAATTTGAATACTTCGCGTTTTAGTCTATATTTTAACAAATCTTAAAAGTATAGAGTTGTCATTTTTAATTTTTATTTAAAACGCACCGCCGACAAAAAAGTACAAAAGAGAAAAAAGCAAAAACTATTTGTGTATCTGGTTAAATTGGGATCGATAGTCACTGCTTGCTGGTCCTAAGAAACGAACTATTTAATCAGCTTTGGTCAGGGCTGTGTGGGCACGTTCTTGGGTTAAAAATGATTTGTCTCATGTTGGTTAAAGTGGCCGTTTGTTGGATCCTTCGTTCTATATCAGATTTTTCCAAATTTTTAAAATCTTGAAGGTCTTGTTTTCTAATTTACGAATGTCGAAGATTCTCGCTGACATTATGGTTGTTATGTGATGATTTTTTCTTCTTTGACATTCCGTTTGCATGTCTTGTCTTTTAAAGACGGGGGGGGGGGTCCACACCCACCCCTAGAGAAAGGTTGAAGAGTAAATGAATTGTAGTACATGTTGATAGTCCAATTTCTGAAGGTCAGTTCATCAAAAAATACCTTTGGATCACTATTTCTTAAAATTCAAGAAAGCTCAGGGTGATAGTGCTAAAAAAGAGAGTGATCGGACAAAAGCTATTTTTACTGTACCTAACTCTATAGACAGGACTAGCCGGTGCAACAAGGTTGACGGGGTCAGACTTTATGCTTCATATAGGTTGAATTTACTTTTACTGAAGGGGCAGAGGTGCGTGACTAACATAAAATCAAAAGTGCCTCGTTTAAACTTTTACATTTCAAAGGTTAATCTTTAACTCTAGAAGAATCCACAAGATTTTACATTTTACAGAAATGCTTTCTCTAGGATTTTGCTTCTAATTCTTATATGTTTACTCTCACAGAAACAAAATAAAAGCAAAATTTAGTGAAAATAATATTTTCCGTTAATAGAAAATGATTAGAGACTATAGAGAATATAGAGAATATAGAATAATAATATTATTCAAGCTAGAATTTAAATATTTTTTCTGCTTTCAACGACTAAGATTGAAATATCAAGAATTATGATTTAAAAGCGATTGTTGTAAGTTGTATAATGACAAAAATAAAAATATAAACAATAGCTTTACAAATACATCAATAGGTTGTATAATGGAGTTTAAATGATTAATAGTTGACACTTTGTATTTGTACTTTTTACTTAGATTATAGTTTGATCCTGTTGTGAACCTTTAGACATAAGAAACTCGTTTGAACTCTCTTCTGAAATCTGAGCATAATTAACATCATCATAATTTAATCAATTGATAGTATAGCAGTTAAGCAAGATAATGTATGAATATTAAATACAATACTTATGTTTACATCTCTCTTGTACATATGTTTATTGTTTATTGTGTTAAAGCTAGGAAGGTCAAACGAAGGGAGGATGGCAGATCTTTAGGTTAAATGAGGGGTAGCTGGCAGATCTTAAAGTTAAAGGAAGGGATGATGGCAGATCTTTAGGTTAAAGGAGGGGAGGGTGGCAGATCTTGAGGCAATACGAGGGGAGGATGCCAAATCTTGGGGCTTAAGAAGGGGATAATGGCAGATCTTGAGGTAAAGCCAGGAGATGGTGGCAGATTAAAGAAGTGGGATGGATGTCAGATCTTAAGGAAAAACGAGGGATGATGAAGATAAAAATATAAAAATTATAACATTTTTTGACCCGGCGAAATTATTTTTCTTGCTCTTCCAACGTCACAGTTATAGATTTTACTGGTGGAAATAAAAAAAAAAATAAAAAAATTTGAAAAAAAAATTTGGAAAATTTTTCTTTAACAAATTATGAAAAAAAAACTTATTTTTTGCCTTTGTCCCTAACTACCCATGAGTGTACACAAAAAAAAATTTCAGCCCATTCGGTTCATCCGTTTGGCCGACCAGAAGGAACATATATTTGAATGGCTTGTTTTATCATGTAGATTATATTACACTGTCAAGATATATAATGGACTTTCGTTTTGTAATAATCTAAATATTTTCGATATTCCCTTCAAGGTCTGTCTTTAAACTTTTATCAAAAATAAACCTGAATATTTAAAGAGACTGAAAGCGTAATTTCAAGTGACCCTCCGTGCAAAGATGACAATGCCCGATTTACCCGGCCTTGAGACCTCTGATCCATAAAGTAGAAGATATTGTCGTTTTTAATATGTTTTCCTGCACTGGAAATGCGCAAACTGCTTCTTTAGAGAAACCAAAATAAAAAATGATCAATTTTTTTAAATGAAAACATTGATATAATTTTTTACAGATTGACAATCATGCATTGCAATCTTTGCAATGTCA